AATTCATAGAATACATAAAATTTATTGATTAAAAAAAATTTATAATTATAATTTATAATTTTTTTTTTTTAATATAATTTTTTATTTTTTTTTTATTTTTATTTTTAATTAAAAATTTATTTTATTATTAAAAAATGAATTTAAAAAATAAATACACAAAGTTTCTGTATTTGGAAAGAAAAAAAAATATTCCAAGTAGATTAAAAAAAAAAAATCGTTAGAAAGTAAATTCGTAAAATAAAATAAATTCATAGAAATACATAAAATTTATATTGATTAAAAAAAAATACCGAATTTGAAAAAATAATAATTTTGTAAAAATATATTTCTTTTATGATAAATGTAATTTAAAAAAAAAAAAAAAAAAAAATTAAATAACAGGTGTTGAAGAGGATAACAGAAAAAAGTCAGTTGATCTGTTTTTTAGAGAGAAAAAAAAAAAAAAAAAAAAAGTGACAAGTGGTGGGATCCAATAGAAGAAGCGAAGAAATAAAGCATCTCCTCCCCTCTTAAAATGCGTCGCGACGTCCTTTGCTTTACGTCTTCAACAGTTCAACGCCTACACTACCAGTTCTTCGATAAGTCTCTTCCTTTCAATATCGTCAGTGTCTTAGGAATTATTAAGTGATTTTGAAAAAAAAAAAAAATTTTTCCATATTTGAAATTCATCATGTTCAAAGTAAATAAAAAAAAAATTCATTTTATTTGTTTATTCGTACATTAAAATTTTTTTTCCTCTCTCTTCAATGAAATTTCTTAAAATGAAGACTTTTGGATGCAGTGTGCATGGAAATAATTTTTAAGTATATTATTATATTTACTTTGAAAAAAAAACGCTTATACTTAGTGTTTTAGAAATATCTATTTTTAAAATCATTTTTCTATATTAAATATTTATAAGTATTCAATATTTTTGAACAAAAAAATTTTTAATGAAAATAAATTGCTTTGAAAAAATTTTAATTTACTCTTCAAAATTGAATCAGAAAATTTTTTTAACTAATTTGAATTAGTAAAATTTAATAGTGAAAAAATTTTTCTAGTAATATTTAACTAATTCAAAAGCAAAAAAGTGAGAAACTAATTCTAACATTTTTACTAATTCAAATTCAAAACCAAGTTTCTTTTTTTGAAATTAAATTAATTTTTGAAAATTTAGCCTCTATTATAAAAGTTTTATTTTTTTAATTTTTGTATTATACAGATGCATTGTTAATAATATTTTGTAATTAATCTCTTGAGTTGGAAAAACTTAAAAAAAAAAAATTCGATAACCAATTTTTTTTTTATTTATAAATTTTTAATACCAGAAATCAATTTCTTTGATTGGATTATTTGCTGATTCAATTAAATTGATTCTGCTGTCAAAGCTTATATTTGAATAAACGCATGTTCGTACATATACATATAAATATGTACGTATACGAAATTACGTATTATCAGAAGTCAATGCACTTAGATTATAGCCGACACTAATGTCTTTGAGTGCTTACTAAAAAATTAATGTACCTGAATATAATTTTATCTAAATTTATTGAATTTCATTTCTAGATTACAATATGACTATGCTTATTTTTTTTTTTTTATAACTTGTCAAAATTTAATAAACACAATATATATTTTTAGATGTATTAAAAATAGACTTCTTTTTTTATAATTTAATGTATAAAAATTAAATAAAATTTTAAACAATTTTTAATTTTACAAATCAGTAAAAAATAATTCTATTTTTTATTTTAAACAAATTATTATATTTTCTATTAAAAAAAAAATAAATTTATTTAAACCAATTAATTTTTATTGGAATTAAATTTTTGGACTAATAATTTCTGTATTTGAAACAAATACTATTTACATGACTCAAATAATAATAATTATTTAATACAAATAATTTACTTGATAATAGTCAAATAATCGATTTTATTTGGATCAAATAATTTTTTTTCAGTGTAAATATATAAATGTTTTTTTTAACTTTTTTGATGAAAATGCAAAAAAAAAAAAAAAAAATAAGTGAGCTATCATATGTTAAAAGTGTGTAAAAAAGATATCACTTTTAAGTGTTTAAAGCTACGTATATGATAGCAGTATTAGTCGATTTATCTCTGATTTCTCACGATTGAATAAACTCTATAGATCATATGTCTTGACAAGTGACCAATATATTTTTTTTCAATAATTACGTGAAAACTGTTATAGAACCTTATCTCTCTTTTAAAAAATTATTTCTATTACAGTATAAAGAGTATAATATAATACAATATAATATAATATAATATAATATAATATAATATAATATAATATAATATAATATAATATAATATAATATAATATAATATAATATAATATAATATAATATAATATAATATAATATAATATAATATAATATAATATAATAATTAAAAAAAGTTTATACTTAAATGTATTAAAACATATTTTTTTAATATACAATTAATTAATTTTTTTTTATTGCAGTTTAAATTTGATGTACCTGTAATAAACCTGGGCACTTTGAAGGCAAGATGTCGGCATAGCTGATGTCATTTGAAATTCGGCTGTGTCACATCAAGCCAGCCGAATGTTCAGATTACAACGTAAAATTGACAATTCAAGCAAAAAAAAAAAAAAAGAAATTGAAACATTCATTTCTTTATATGAAGAAGGTATAGAGTTAAAAATTTTAGTAGTGCAGTAATTAAATTTTCATTAATTAATTAGAATATATTTTTAAAAATTTTATACAAATTTTATTGGACATTAATATACAGGGTGTCCCATTTTAATCTATCAGGCGAAATAACTTTTAATCAGTTGATTTTACAAAAAAATGTTTTAGACAAAAGTTATTGTGCTCCCAGGGGGACATCTAGTGGTAAACTTGAATTTGACCTAAATGACCTAATTTAGGTCATTTCAAGGTCAACTAATTTTTTTTAAATGGAACCACCTACTTTTTATGCCGGAAATCGATAAAGCAGGAAATTCCACGTCGAAATCGTTGATGCACTTTTTTTCGATAGATCGACCTATTTAGGACAAATAGGTCATTTAATTATTATTGTATTTGGGGAAATAACTTTAAACTAATTAATTTTACAAAAACATGTTTCAGTCAAAAGTTGTTGTGCTTTAAGGGGAATATTCAGTGATGACCCTAAATTTGTCCTAAATGACCTGAATTTGGTCATTTCAATTTCAACTCATTTTTTTAATGGAACTAACTATTTTCATGTTACAAATTGGAAGAGCAGGAAATTCCACGTTGAAATCGTCCAAGAACTCTTTTCGACAGGTCGACCTATTCAGGTCAAATAGGTCATAATTAATTTCACCTACAAGGCCTTGGTTAGATCTAGTCTATGTCAAATAATTTTTCATGAAGAAAGATCTATGCAAGGAATCGTCAGGGCAAGAATTTTTATGTAAAAAACACTAGACCCAACCAAGGCCTTGTAGGTGAAATTGATTATGGCCTATATTTGACCTGGATAGGTCGACCCGTCGAAAAAAATACTTAGACGATTTCAACGTGGATTTTCCTGCTCTTCCGATTTGTAACATGAAAAGTAGATGGTTCCATTAAAAAAAATGAGTTAAAATTGAAATGACCTAATTTAGGTCATTTAGGACAAATTTAGAGTCATCACTGAATATTCCCCTTTAAGCACAACAACTTTTGACTGAAACATGTTTTTGTAAAATTAATTAGTTTAAAGTTATTTCCCCAAATACAATAATAATTAAATGACCTATTTGTCCTAAATAGGTCGATCTATCGAAAAAAAAGTGCATCAACGATTTCGACGTGGAATTTCCTGCTTTATCGATTTCCGGCATAAAAAGTAGGTGGTTCTATTTAAAAAAAATGAGTTGACCTTGAAATGACCTAAATTAGGTCATTTAGGACAAATTCAAGTTTACCACTGGATGTCCCCCTCTGAGCCTGATAGATTAAAATGGGACACCCTGTATAATAAAATGAAAAGGCCTAAGAACGTTAATTTTGTAGGTGTTAAAAAAATTTTTTTTGACCACACTGAGAGAACAAAGTAGTTGAGGCAACTAATAAAATGGTTACGAATACCATTTTGGTTAGTAAACTATAATGCTGCTAATTCGATAGTCAGGGATACCATTTATAATAGTAAAAAGATAAATAGTTACCGTTACCATTTTATTAGTAAGGGGAACTTTCTTTATTTAGTACCAACTACTAATAAATATTGTAACAGATAACATTTAGTTAGTTAACCTTACTAATCAAATATAGGTAATTTGATATAGTAAAATACAGCCGTAAATATTTATTTAATATTATTCACATTCAAAAAAATATGTTTATTATAAGGTTAATATAACTTTCTTGCTGTACCAAGTAAGATCACAGAAAAAACGCTGGGTAAATTTTGTTGCGGGTAATTTTCACCAATGCTAATTCACATAGACAGTGGCGCCCTCAACTAGGATAAAATTTGTTGCAGGTAATTTTTATACCGATTTTGGGGTAAAAATTCTACTTTTTTTTCGTGTGATATATAAATCTTATATTAAACATATTTTTTGTATTATGCGAATAATAATACACACTGTAAAATTTTTTTTTGGAGATTGTACATTCACAATTTGTATTTGTGTTAATACAAAAAACTCTGCTTTAATGAAATAAAATTTTTTTTGCTATATACACGTACAATATGCAATGAGCACGTGCACAGTTTTTGAATTATCCGGATATGACGTAAAAAGAAAGATCAAATATCGAAATAAGAAACTGATAAGTATTTCGTTGAGGATAGAAATATTTCGTTATGAATATTAATTAAACTTATTTCTATATATGTTACTGTCACATTATGTACTTAAATGTATATACAGGTGAAATTTTTTATATGGTATACGAAATTTAGTATATATATATATATTTAAAAGTAAATATTAATATAAAAATTATCTCTGAAACTAAATTTAAAACTATTTTTAAAAAAAAGAAGATATAAATCTATAAATAATTATTTAAATTTTATTAAAATTTTTTTTTCTATATAATTATTATTTATTAGTTATTACAATTATTAATTTTATATAATTTCTAATGTTATTAATAATAATATTATTATTTTATTGAGTCTTTTAAAGAATTCTTGTAGAATTTATAAATAAGGTGATGGAATTGATGTTGGAACATTATTTGGTCCGGCAATAAATGCAGCAAATGGACTAACAGTATTTTGAACAATTTGCACTAAAACTTCATAATTGGTGAATGGAAGTTCTTGTCCGTTAAATGGCACATGTGCAATTTTTCCATCGATTTGAAGCTGTAAATAATTTATGAAAAATGAAAAACAAGTTTGTAAAAAAAATATTTAATTTGTCTAGATATAAATTATATTTGTTTATTCAGTTTGTGAAAAGAGTGCCTTACTTTTCCTACAATAATCATGCCTTCATGTTTAACTCTTGCGACATAATATCTTGGTTTTCCTCGACGATATCCGCCAATAATTGAACCTTCTGGAATATGTCCTAAAGAAGCTGATATCCACTTCATTCGACAGCCGGTGAGTAGCTAAAAAATAAGTAATATAATATATAATACATTTTTTTCTACATACATTTATTATTAATAAAAATAATTAGTATTTAACTAAACTAATCCATTGAGAATTCATTAAATTAATTATTGATTATTATTTATTAGTTTCAAATAAATAACATTTAATTGATTCAAAATAATAATTATATAATAATAAAATGCTTGGTCTGTCCTTCTGTCCTAACTTGAAGTTGGCCTTTTCTGATTTCGCGTGTTTTTTTGAATAGTAATCTTATGACGTGTCAAATTTTGACAATTCTTTTTCTCATTTTCGCCAAAGTTGTATAATTGTGTTTCCAAATTTCGGAATAAGTTTCTTTAAAATTCCAAATTCGAAAATTCAATTCACGAAACTGAAGTACACAACGTTTACCAACGAAATTTTTTTTAAAGTTGAATATTGATTCAAAAATTCTATACAAATACAACAAATTTATGATGAGAAAAAAGATGCTCCAGGAAATTTTGTACAAGATAGTAATTTGAAAAAAATTTATTTTTAAAAATTTATTTTTAAAAATTAATTTTTAAGGTACCAGGGGCCAACGAATACCTATTAAATATTAATTATAAAAACACAGGCCTCGAATCAATTTAAAGACACAAAAAGTCATTTTAGTTGATTTATATTCCAAAAAAAAGTGGATTTGTTTTTTATTTTAACAAAAATATTTTACAGATTTTTAAATACAAATTTTTTTTTTTAATAATAATCCTTTTCGAAGGGTTAAAGTTGAAATTTTTAGAAATAATTCAATTTCAAAAGATATTGTTAATTTTCAAACAATTATTAAATTTTACAGAACTAAAAATAATTTATCAAACAATTTTTGGAAAACATTTTTTAAATTTAATTGAATTTTCAAAGATTTAAAATTGAAATTTTTGAAATTAATTGAAACTTTAAGTGATTTTTAATTAAAATTTTAGATGATTTCACTAAAAATTTATTAGAAAATGCGGACAAAATACAATAATTTGAAAATCATTTTTAATTGAAAAATAGTTTCAGATAGTTAAAATTTCAAAGAATATTATGAAAATAGTTAAAAATAATTGAATTTCCTTAGAGTTATAATTGAAATTATTAAATTTCAAAAAAAAAATTTTTCGATGGAAAATTTTAGAAATAATTAAATTTTAGATGCTTTAAATTCAAATTATTGAAAATTCAATTAATTATGAATTCAAATTTTTGAGAATAATTAAATTTTATTTGATTTTAAATTTGGAAAATAATTGAATTTCAGTTCATTTTGAATTGAAAATTTTGGGAAATAATTGAATTTGAATTGAAATTTTGGATAATAATTTAATTTAAGTTCATTTTAGATTGAAAATTTGGATAATTAATTTTGAATAGAAATTTTAGAAAATAATTGAATTTTATTTCATTTTAAATTGAAAACTTGGTAAATAATTAAATTTTAAATTGAAAATGTTGGATAATTATTGGATTTTTAATTGATTTTGAATTAAAATTTCGGGTAATAATTGAATTTTAGTTTATTTTGAATTGAAATTTTTAAAAAATAATTCAATTGTGATATTTTTTTTAAATTATAAACAATTGTTAAATTTCATAAAAATTTTAATTGAAAAATAATTTTGATATAATTGAATTTGTGATGTATTTCATTAAAATTATTAAAAATAATTAATTTAGTGAAGAATCATTTTAGTTCAAAATTTGTTAAATAATTGAATTGAAGAAGATCTGAAGAAGATATAAATTTTATACTAAAAAATGTATTTTATTTACATTTTCTTTTCAAATGTAAAAAAAAATGTCGCAGTTTATTAAAATAAGTCGATAAAAGTCGTATTTTTGAAAAAAGTCGGAACAAAGTCGTATAATCCGAGGCCTGTAGACATATAATTTTTATTATTATTATTTAATATGTAATTATATTCTAATAAATTAAATTATTATTGATAATATTAATCTTTAATTTCTTTATAAAAAACAATTAAATATCCAATTTGGCGCGCTTGCCCGCGTTTAATTTTGCTAATTATTTAATAAATTAATAATAATATTTATTTGATAATAGTCAAGTAATTGAGTATTTTTGAATCAAATAAATTTTTTTTTCAGTATATTTAACGACTGGAAATTAATTATAAATATAATAATTATTATTAAGTAAATTAATTTATTTATTAAGTAAATTTAAAAAAAAACGAAACCTCGAATTCAGATTTTTGATGAACTTCTAATTCATAGGAAATATAACATCTTCCATGTTGATTTTCATCAATTATATAGCTTCCAGGAATTGTATCACCTTGATGATTTGCTCGACAAATATATATCATTCCATTGTCATATCTCCCCCCTCTGAATAGACCTGGAGGTAACTGAATTGAACCATCTTTCCAACGAACTAAAAAATTATCATATTTTTCAATAAAAAATTATTAGATATTATTTTATATAGGGTCAGTTGGGGTACATGGGGACAAGAGGTTTTGGAGCTTAATTTACAGTCTTAAAATTGAGTTCAACGTCAATATTTTAACCTCAGATCATCTGCAAGAGGTTTTGAGTATTGACAAGCTTTTATCTTGACAATTGGCAGCAAGATAAAAAAAGTTTTTGTTCAATGCATAAAAACTTGAAAATCAAAATCAAACTGTTTCAGTATTTTGTCTTGCATTTCAAAGAAAACAGACTTAAAAATCATACCAAATTTTTTTCTTATTCCTTATGACTCCTATAACAGAAATTCACTTGAATTTTTGATTTTTGTCAATATGGTTAATAATGACAAGCTGTCCCCATTTACCCTGAGTTTTCAAATTTTTGGGGTAAATGGGGACAGCTTGTCATTATTAACCAAATTGACAAAAATCAAAAATTCAAGTGAATTTCTGTTATGGGAGTCATAAGGAATAAGAAAAAAATTTGCTATGATTTTTAAGTCTGTTTTTTTCAAATGCGAGACAAAATACTGAAATAAAAAAAAAAAATAAAAAAAATAAAAAAATTTCAATTGGTTCAACTATTATATATCTAACTACAAATTTTTTTTCAAGTTTTTTCATCCCTTAATACAGTAATATACTTAAGGAAACTTTTTTCTTAAAACATTCTTAGAAACTATGCTGTCCCCATTTACCCCAAATTTTATGAAATTTTCTAAATTTTGGGGTAAATGGGGACAGTCAGTTTTATGCATTTAAAGCTTATCTAAATTTTTTTCTGCTACATAAAATTAATCCTGGGAATGTAAATAACAACATAAAAAAAATAAACCCACAAATATTACCTTTTAAAGGAAGAAACTTACGTAATTTGTGAAAAATAGCGAATTTGTCCCCATTTACCCCAACTGACCCTATAACAACTTACTAAATTCCAAAACATATAAAATTTTGACTATTATTTTTATTTAAGAATTTTTTCTAAAAAATAATACCTATATTTATTATTATTATTATTATTATTAATATTAATAAATAAATACCTACCTAATTAATAATATTAAACTACTGAATTTTAAAGAGATATAATTTTGACTATTATTACACTGAAAAAATTTTTTTTTTGATTCAAATAATTACTTGACTATTATCAAATAAATATTTACTTGAACCAAATAATTTTTATTTGAGTTAAATAAATTGTATTTAAACCAATAATTTCTGTATTTGAAATAAATACCACTTAATTGATTCAAATAATAATTATTTGACACAAATAAATATTTATTTGATAATTGTCAAGTAATTGAGTATTTGAATCAAAAAAATTTTTTTTTTCAGTATAGTATTATTATTATTTAAGATTTTTTTTTTAAAAATAATAATTTTAGTTTATTCTTATTTTAAGGTTTGTTACCCGCACAATCTTGAGATCCAATATTATAATCTGGACCAAGTCCAAATTGTACATCACCATAAACTTTTGAATCAATTTCTTCGGTATCTTCTTGATTCATATTGAAGCTGAGATACTGAGGGGATATTGGATTTGGATCTCTCCATTGTAATACTGGATTTGATGCACTTGTTCTTCCCAAAGTAAGTAAACCATCTGTTCAATAAATAATAATTGTTTTTATATTATTCATATAAAAAGAAGGAATGTTTTGGATTTTTCTCAAAAATTCGGTAAATTTTAGTACGATAATGAATGTAAAAATTTTGAATTTGAAATTTTTAATTTTTTTGCTGATGTTTATAATAAAAAATTTTACCAAAAATTTTTTTTTCTTTATTTATAATTATAAATTATTTTTCTATGAAAAATAAAAATAAATGTTCAGAATTTTTTTTGGTTCAGAAGACCTTTAATTTCCAGATAAAATGATTATTTTTCAGTCTTTCTCTAAATAACATTTTATAATTAATTTTCGATTCTTAGTAATACTTAATATTATTTTTTTGTACAGAATTAAATGATCTTAAAAAAAATTGACAGTTGGGAGTATTTTATGGAAAAAATATAAAAAAAAAAATTTTTTTGATTTTTAAAATTTTCAAAAACTCAAAATTTTGAAAAATTTTTGAATTTTTTTTTTTTTGAACCTCAGGCTTCATTTTGCCCATTTGAAAAAGTCTACAAAATTTTAGACCGATTCATTAAGATTTATTCGAGTAATCAAGAAATCAAAAAATTGTCAAAAAAGAGACGAAAGACTATAAAGGCTTTATCTCGACTTTTTCTTCACCCTCTAAATATTCAAATTATTATTATTATTTTTAATAAATTTAAAAAAATCATAACTTTTTGCTTTAAGTCTCAATCGAAAAATGTTACAGGAAAAAAGTGTCTCATTTCGGGAGTATTTTATGGGAAAAATATATAAAATAAATTTTTTTTCAAAATTCAAAATTTTGAATTTTTTTGAAAATTAAAAAAATTCATAACACTTTTCTTTTAGCCTCTATTGGAAAATGTTACGGGAAAAAAGTGTTTTATTTTGGGAGTATTTTATGGGAAAAATATAAAAAAATTTTTTTTTTTGATTTTAAAAATTTCCCACAATTCAAAATTTTGAATTTATCTTTATTCTTTCGGATGTTCATGATTCATGATTTTTTCGTTCTTCAAAAAAGAGGGAGAACATGTTTAAAAATTATAAACAAATTTTATTTTCTAAATAAATTGTTCAAAAATTAATATTTTTTTAAGAAAATAATTTTTATCTAAAAATTTAAGGTTTTTTTAAGTAAAAAACATTTTTAACATTTTTCTCTATTTTTAGTATTGAAAAAGTTATGAGTAAAGCAAAAAATATTACTAAAATTTTTATTATTGTAAATATCTTCCAAAATATTAAAAATTTACAAAAAAAACATTTAACTTTTTTTTCTTGTTATCCAATTGAGATCCATTTTTTTAATTTCTCAAAATAAAATGCAAAAAAAAAATAGTTCATGAAAAAAGTGAATATTTTGCCCAGAAAAAAGTAAAAAAAAAAAAAAAATTGTTTGAACCCATTTTTTGAAAAAATTACCTCTTTGATTTCAAATTTTATACTATAAATAACTAAAAAAAAATAATTTGAAATAGAAGAGGTGGTTTTTCCAAAAAATGAAAATATTTTTGTTACAGAAAATATTATAAATTCATCAATGATGTCAATTTAAATTAACATGTGTAATAAAATATTTCTTTTTATTATTTTTTGTTATATTAGTTTTAGTTATGTTTTTATTAATTACTTTGTACTGAAGGGCTTTAGGCCCGTTGAAGTGCATAAATAAATAAATAAATAAATTTGTTACTATACCTCTTGTAAGTTTGATCCAAAATCTAATTTTTTCTTTTGCATTTAAAAATGAAGTTTGTTGAAATGCTGTTTTCATTTCTCCTAAATGACGATCTTTCACATATGCTCCATTTGCGTGAATTCCAATTAAATATACATTTCCCAATGTGCTTATATCTGGACTCAAAAGTACCTTAAATTTAGAATATTTTACAAAAAGTGGAACTACAAAAAAAAATGTTTTAATAAATGCAAATTTCTTTTACAATGTTTTGTAATAAGTATTTTTAATAATAATAATAATAATAATAATTTTTAAACTCCGTCAAAAATGTTTGTGAAAAAATGTATTCTTCGTTTGAGAGGATCGAGGTATTTTTTTCTAAAATTCTCTAAAATTTTATACCTTAAAATGAAAGTAATTACTTTTCAAATTAATATTTTTTTTACCTCTTCACCTAAGAGAATATAAATAATAAAACGAGCCTATTACTTTCCGCACCATTTTTAGAATAATATTCTCGGTTGAAGAAAAAATTCATTTACTTTGAAAGAAATTTTTTTTTGTAGAATATATTTTTTCAGTGTGAAATTAATTTTTAATCATTATATATGGGGCATTCTATTTTAAAATTATACCCCTAGTAAACAATTGACAATATAAGACATTTTTTAAATAATTATTTCTCCCATTTAATTAAATCAAATTACTTTTGCAATGAGTGGTTTCGAAAGAGAAATTTCTAAACTTTATTATTGTAAAAAAAATTTTAAAAAAACTTTTAATTAGCATAAAAAATTTAGTTTGAAGGTTAAACTTTTAAATATCTCAAAACACGTTGTCTCCGATTTTGACAAAATCTGTGTCAAAAGAAAGCTTAAATATTCTATTTTTTATTTCCGTAAAGTTTATAATGGACATTTTCGAGAATTTCCAGAAATTAATTAAAATTCTCAGACGTTTCAAAGGTTAAAAAGGGTTGAAATTTGCATGAATAGAGAACCTCTATTCAAATACAGCGGCATTTGTTTTTACGAAATTTTTAAATAAATAAATTTTAAAACTTCAATTTTAATCTTAATAATTTTTTTAAATTTGAACAATTTTTAATTGCAAATAGCTAAAGATCAATATATTTATTGTTTACAATATTTTTTTTCTCTAATGTCAAGTGATGTAATAATGTAAGGTTAATGGAAATTAAATTTAAAAAACAAAATCCGCTCTTAAAGAAATGGTTCTCCATTCATACAAATTTCAATCCTTTTTAACCTCCGCAACGTCTGAGAATTTTAATTAATTTCTGGAAATTCTCGAAAATGTCCATTATAAACTTTACGGAAATAAAAAATAGAATATTTAAGCTTTCTTTTGACATAGATTTTGTCAAAATCGGAGAAAACGTGTTTTGAGATATTTACAAGTTTAACCTTCAAACTAAATTTTTTATACTATTTAAATGTTTTTTTGAAAAAATTTTTTTACAATTGTAAAGTTTAGAAATTTCTCTTTCGAAACCACTCATTGCAAAAGTAATTTGATTTAATTAAATGGGAGAAATAATTATTTAAAAAATGTCTTATATTGTCAATTGTTTACTAGGGGTATAATTTTAAAATAGAATGCCCCATATATTTAAATGTAAAATTGAATGTGAGTATAAAAACACTGTAAAACGAAAGGTATTAATTTAATACCGATTTTATGTACTATATAATTGTAATTTGGTTCTATTTTGATACCTAAAATCGGTACTATTGTAGTACTTTGTTTTTACAGTGAAAGAATAGTTAAAAAATTTCAAACCTGTAATTCAAATTCAGATCGAAAAGTAAAATATAAAGTAATATCATCATCAGAATGGCTGACAACTTTGGATAAGGGAAAATATTGTCCAAAACCTGTTGAAGTTACTATTGATGATCGTCTGTCCTTTGAAACACCTGTAATTAGAGGTATTTATAAAAAATTTATCGAAATTAAAAATAAGTATATAAATATGCTGATAATTTTTTAATGAACTAAATTTTTGATATTTTGAGTTTCTGAAAAAAATTAATACACTCATATTTAAATGAACAAGTCCCAATTCAAAATTTTAATACGAGTTTAATTTTTTTTTTTTTTAATTTTGTCGAATATTTTTTTTTAATACTACTTTTATTGATGAACTCTGTTACTTATTATTAATATTTTTAAAATTTGACATCGATTTTCTATATTTAAAACTAAATTTTCTATTTTTACCAAAATCGATATTTTCCATTTTAAAATAATAATTAATGCAAACGAAAGCTGAGGTTTAAATTTTTTATCTGTATAAAAAAAATTTAGAATGCCGTTTTTTTCGAATTTAAAAATTCGAATCACTTAAAATTCCATTGAATGAGAATTATGCTAAATTAAAATTCGATTAAATCAGAATTAAATTTTAAATAAAAAGTTGTGTAAAGAGAAATTCAGTAAAATAAAAAATTTGCCAAATAAATATTTGATTTTAAATTAAAAAATCAAGGTCAAATTCTGAAAAATATTCAAAAACCGAATTCACCAATAAAAAAATGTATTAAAAAATTAATTAAAAAAAAATATATTATGACAAAATTAAAAAAAAAATTACATGTATAGACATAAAAAAATAAAATGACCCCCCAATATTTTGAAAAAAGTCAAATATTTTTTTTTTTTATTGTACCACTAGATAGGATAATAATTTTCATAAGTTTCACTTTGTTTGGAAATTTTGAAAAAGAATAATAATTTTTGTTTCTTTATTTTGCTAATTATTAACAAAATTTAATAAATAAAATAAAGCGAATTTTAACCTAGGGTACGAAATTAAATCAAAAAATTGATTTTTTTTATATGAAAGGTAAAAATGAAATGTAAATAAATAATAATATAATTTTTATAATATTTTCTAGGCTACCTGTAGTATAACTGGAGTCCTTGAATCCATATCGCCATTCTCCAATAGTTGCTGATCGAAAGCTCAAATATTGTGGCTTTAATGGTCGAGGATCTCTCCATTCATGAAAAGGCGTATCGCTCTCGCCAAAACCAATTTGAACAAAAGTTCTAAGACGTTCAGTTTTCATTCGAATCCAAAATTTTCGAAATTCTTTTGAACTCAAAAGATTCACTGATTTTATCGAGGCATTTGGTTCTTCTTGACATGGACATCTTCCTCGAATATGATTTATTGTATTATTTTGAGCTCCAAGAACTATTTCATAAACTGGTTCATCTGCCTGTTTATATTTATTAATTAATTTCAATACTTCATCGTAATTTAATAATTATTCGGAATTCAATGAAACTTTCTTTATTCTTTAAACAGGGCTGATAAAAATACACTGAAAAAAAAATGTATTTGATTCAAATACTCGATTACTTGACTAATTATCAAATAAATATTTACTTGAAACCAAATAATTTTTATTTGAATTAAATAATTTGTATTTAAACCAATAATTTCTGTATTTCAAACAAATATCATCTTAAATATTAATAATTATTTCATAGAAATAAATATTTATTTGATAATAGTTAAGTTATTGAATATTTGAATCAAATAAAATTTTTTTTTTCAGTGTACGATGCTGAATTATGCAATGTTTATGATCAACGATTAGAAATCAATTTTTATTTGACACGAAAAATTATAAAATTGTTTATCTAAAAAAATTTTTTTTATTATAATTTGTTGATTAATAAAAACTACAATAAAATATTTATCAGGAAAAAAAATTAATAGAATTTTTCATTCTAAAAAATTATTTCTTTAAAAATTGTTTATCATAAACATTGCGTACTTCAGCATTGTATAAAAATCATGATTTAAAAAATAATACGATTTTTTTTTGAACGATGCTGAAGTACGCAATGTTTATGATAAACGACATTTAAAGAAATAATTTTTTAGAATGAAAAATTCTATTAATTTTCGTCTCTCAAAAATATTTCTTGCAATGTTTATATTGATAAAAAAAATTGTAAAACATTTTTTTTAGATAAAAATTTTTATAACATTTTGTCATAAAAAATAATTTGTTTTTTAATAGTTGATCATAAACGTTCTAGATTTTAGCATTTTTTTTTATTTACGTTACATTTGTCGAAAGTTCATTTCTATTTTTTTTTTTTTAAATAAATATTTAAACGATAAATTACATATATAATAATAAAATGCTTGGTCTGTCCTTCTGTCCTAACTTGAAGTTGGCCTTTTTTGATTTCACGTGTTTTTTTGAATAGTAATCTTATGACGTGTCAAATTTTGACAATTCTTTTTCTCATTTTTGCCAAACTTGTATAATTGTGTTTCCAAATTTCGGAATAAGTTTCTTTAAAATTCCAAATTCGAAAATTCAATTCACGAAGCTGAAGTACACAACGTTTACCAACGAAATTTTTTTTTAAAGTTGTATATTGATTCAAAAATTGTATACAAATACAAAAAATTTATGATGAGAAAAATCATGCCCCAGGAAATTTCGTACAAGATAGTAATTTGAAAAAAATTAATTTTTAAGGTACCAGGGGCCAACGAATACCTATTAAATATTAATTATAAAAACAAAGGCCTCGAATCAACTTAAATACACAAAAAGTCGTTTTAGTCGATTTATATTCCAAAAAAAAGTGGATTTGTTTTTTATTTTAACAAAAATATTTTACAGATTTTTAAATAAAAAATTTTTTTTTTAATAATAATCCTTTTCGAAGGGTTAAAGTTGAAATTTTTAGAAATAATTAAATTTCAAAAGATATTGTTAATTTTCAAACAATTATTAAATTTTTCAGAACTAAAAATAATTTATCAAACAATTTTTGGAAAACATTTTATAAATTTCATTGAATTTTCAAAGATTTAAAATTGAGATTTTTGAAATTAATTGAAACTTTAAATGAGTTTTAATTAAAATTTTAGATGATTTCACTAAAAATTTATTAGAAAATGAGGACAAAATGCAATAATTTGAAAATCATTTTTAATTGAAAAATGGTTTCAGATAGTTGAATTTTCAAAGAATATTATTAAAATAGTTAAAAATAATTGAATTTCCTTAAGAGTTATAATTGAAATTATTAAATTTCAAAAAAAAATAATTTTCGATGGAAAATTTTAGAAATAATTAAATTTTAGATGCTTTTAAATTCAAATTATTGAAAATTCAATTAATTTTGAATTCAAATTTTTGAGAATAATGAAATTTAATTTGATTTTAAATTTGGAAAATAATTGAAATTCAGTTCATTTTGAATTGAAAATTTTGGGAAATAATTGAATTTGAATTGAAATTTTGGATAATAATTTAATTTAAGTTCATATTTGATTGAAAATTTGGATAATTAATTTTGAATAGAAATTTTAGAAAATAATTGAATTTTATTAATTTTAAATTGAAAACTTGGTAAATAATTAAATTTTAAATTGAAAATTTTGGATAATTATTGGATTTTTAATTGATTTTGAATTAAAATTTCGGGTAATAATTGAATTTTAGTTTATTTTGAATTGAAATTTTTAAAAAATAATTCAATTTTATTGTGATATTTTTTTTAAATCATAAACAATTGTTAAATTTCATAAAAATTTTAATTGAAAAATAATTTTGATATAATTGAATTTGTGATGTATTTAATTAAAATTATTAAAAATAATTAATTTAGTGAAGAATCATTTTAGTTCAAAATTTGTTAAATAATTGAATTGAAGAAGATCTGAAGAAGATCTATATTTTATACTAAAAAAATGTATTTTATTTACATTTTCTTTTCAAATGTAAAAAAAAATGTCGCATTTTATTAAAATAAGTCGATAAAAGTCTTATTTTTGAAAAGAGTCGGAAAAAGTCGTATAATCCGAGGCCTTTAAACATATAATTTTCATTATTATTATTTAATATGTAATAATATTCTAATAAATTAAATTATTATTGATAATATTAATCTTTAATTTCTTTATAACAAACAATTAAATACTCAATTTGGCGCGCTTGCGCGCATTTAATTTTGCTAGTTTATTAATAAAATCATCAAAGAAATATATATATTTTTATCAAAGAATATAACATTTTTGAATTGAAACTAAAATTGTCTAATAATAATTCATGTTTTTCAAAATGATTTTAAAAAAAAATTTATAATATTATAACTTAAAAAGTTTAAATTATTAGAACTTTTTTTTTAGAAAATATTAGAACTGATATATAAAAATTTTAAACTAAAATTACCTAAAAAGGATTTTTTTAAAAAATATTTTGATTTTTACAAGAACCTTGTAACAATAGTAAAATTGCTGAAATAAATCAAACGATACGTTTTAAAAATTATTCATTAATAAAAATTTATAAATTTAAAAACCATTAATTTTATAAAAAAATTTTATTTGCAAAGGTAAATAAAAATAATTACTTCATGCGTCGGTGCGAAAAGAATGTGAGCATCTCTGGCAACTCGAACCGAAAATCGCAAAAATCGTTCAGGTGTTAAATTTTCATCCAAAGGAAAAAATTGACTATACGAATAGCCATAAGTATATAGCTCTTTGATTTCATTGCTGTGAACTGGTATTAAAAACAAATTTTTTAATTTTTTACTTCAAACATTTTTTTTTAAATTTTTTACAATATTGTTTTAATAGAAAATTAAAAATTTTTTAAATTAAAAGAAACTTACTTGAAATGGGTAAAAATCCCAATAAGAAGAAGATGAAATTATATTTTTCCATGAGGATAAATTTGTTCTTTAAAATTTAGTTTTAATTGAACATAAAATAAATTTTATTTATTAGAATTTAAAATAAATTTATTACGATTAAAAATTGAAAAGAAGTTAATAATAATCAATTTATATAAGAAAGAAGACAACGATCGAAAAGTCAAGGAAAGACTGAGGATAATATGCTGTAGATCTGCAAGTTCACCAAAAGTCCTTGAAAGAAAATCTCGTTAATCGACTTCAGTTCATTAAAAGAATGAAATATTTCCGTTGACTTTTATTTTTTCTTCTTTTCCAAATCTCTTGCATTTATGTTGTTTGTAAATAAAGAATATTTTATGGAAATGTTTTGATTTGACAAAATATTGCTAAACTACGTAATAATGATTACTTTTTTCTTTTTTTTTTTGATAAAATATTGAATCTTTTGTTTTTCTGGACTTCGATATATGTGAATTAAATGTTCTTTTTACTCTATATACCAAAACCGGTTGGTTCAAGTAAATAACTTTTCATTAGTAACGACACTCTCACCAATGTAGACATTCAAGTCTCATTTAAAAAGATTCTTTGTTAAGAGGCCCTTGGAAATTCTGTGGAATCTTTAGCAAAGTTAGATGGAAATTCCAATTAGGAATTTTGCAAAATAATTTCACAAATTGTATGTCTACGTTTTTTTTTTTAATTTTTGTGACAATTAGTGATAATTTGTGCTGCAAAAAAATTTTTTTTTTAAATGACAAATAGGAGTTAAATTCCAAAAATAAAATTTTAAGGCAACATTTTCTTTTTGAAAAAATGATAATTAGGATTTGAAATCAAAAAATAAAATTTTAAAACAAATTTTTTTTTTTTTTTAATGTCAATTAGGATTTAAATTCCGAAAATAAAATTTTTAGTGCAAACCCAGAACAAAAAAAACTTTAACAATATTTTTAAAAAATTTTAATAATATTCAAAAAACTGCTATTTATAAATTTAAAATAAAATTTAAGTCAGAAAAAGTTTTAAAAACCCAAAAAAAAACCAGTTTTTAATCAAGAAATAAGTATTCCAATATTAAAATTTTTTAAAAACAATTTTTTTTTGCTAAATTGTGATCGTCCAGGACGAAAAAAATGTGTAATAATATTTTCAAAAAGTTTATTTATTTTCAAAATAATTTTATTTTAATAACAAAAAAAAAAAATTTTTAATCCAAAAATTAATATTTTTCAAAAAGAATTTTCGTGCAATTCGAACTTTTTCAAAGACTTCAATATTTTTCAATATAATTCAATTTTGACATTTAAAAAAGTTGTTTTTTAACCCAAAAAATATTAATTTTTGAATATTTTAAGGTTAAAAAAATCAGTTATTGATTTTTAAAATTGAATTGTTTTGAAAAATACATTGAATTTTACGAAAATGTTATCGTAGATTATTTTTGTGCTAATAAAATTCAGTACCAAAAATGTGTTAAAAATATTGTAATTTTTGTATATTTTTTAAATAAAAAACTTATTTTTGAAATTTAAATTGAATTATTTTGAAAATTATTATTGAAGTTTTCGATAAAGGTACAACAGTTTTTTTTTTATTTTAATCAAAAAATCAATTCAACACTTTGTTTTAAAAAAAAAATATTAATTTTTTTTTTAATATTTCAAGATTGAAATCGCGATTTTTGATTTTTAAATGTAAATTATTTTGAAAAATTGTTAATTTTTCGAAAATATTACAACAGATTTTTTTTATGAAGCAGGAAAATTTTTTTGAAAAATATCAATTTTTATTTATTTTTGGATTAAACAAAAACTGCAATTAAAGAGGTTTTTAGTTACAATTAAAAAAAATTACTGATGTTGAATAATTGAATATTTTGTTGAACTGTTTAGTTATTTCAAAAAAAAAAATTTATTCATGCAATTAAATATTTATTTCAATTAAAAAGCATGCAGTATTGAATGAAAATTTTTTTTATAATTAATTTAATATTTTTTAACAGGAATTATTTCATTTAATTGATTTAATGTAAAAATTATAATAATTTTAAAATATTTATTAATGAATTTATTTTATTGAACCAAGTAAACTAAAATAGTGAGTTATAATTAGAACAATTAATTTATTAATTTAATTGAAACATTTGATTTTTTACTTGATGTAGTTCAAATTAAGACATATTGATGGTTAGAAAACTACAATAAAATTGTCGTCCACGTCTCCAATTTTCTCCATATCCTCTATTTCCTCTATATCCTCCACGTCCATTGTATCCTCCGCGCATCTCATTCATCTGGTTCCTTCTCTCGTACCATCTACGGCGACTTTTTCCACTTGATTTTGTCCTTTTCCTTACTAACCCTGCATTCAAAAAACCGAGAAAATTATTGATTTATTACTTTTTTATTATTTAAAATAAAAAAATAAATTAGGTTTAAAATTAAAAAAAAAAAAAAAATTACAATTTATTGAAATTTAGATTGATTGACTTTCAAATTTATCAAAATAAATAATTTAAATATAATTTAAAAAGTGTAAATGAATTTAACGAAATAAAGAATAAAATTTATCATATCAATAAAAATTTATGAATAAAAAAAGAATTTTAAAAATTAGATGAACAAATTGAAATTTTAATCAATAAATATCCAACCTTCTTGAAAACTTGGTCTTGTCCCAACAAATGGTTGTACATTTTTATTTTCATCTAAGAATAAAAACGAATTTAATTTTTTTTTTGTATAAAATTTATAATTAACTACTAAATTCATAGAAAAAATTAAATTACACGTGATTTTCATTTTTAATTTATAATTATCTAAAAATTTGACTTACATAAACAAATATTACGCAGAATTATTCTTATTTATAATATTTTTATTAATTATTATTGTTTATACTCACCTTCCGATTTTTCATTTATTTTCTCCTCGTCCTCGTCATTTACTTTTTTGTTTTCAACTTTAATATTGAACTCCATTTTTTTTTCTGTAAAAAATAGTAGAATTAATTTTTTTTATTTTTAATACATTAAATACTATTTAATATTTATTTATTTAATATTTTTTTTTTTAATATTTTGATTATTCATTATTTTATTTATACTCACCGTCATTCATTTTCTCCGCGTCCTCGTCACTTACTTCCTCTTTTTTAACTTTAATATCCAATTCCGCTTTCATTGCTGTAAAAAAAAGTAGAATTAATCTTTTTTTTTAATTTTTAATGTAATTTACTTCATTGTTTTCTTATACTCATATTAAATTTGATAATTACACATTTTTAGACTCTCTAATTCCTCTGATAATTTTTGATTCTCCGCTAGCAATTCCTCAATGGACGCCATTTTTTTTTTTGTCACGAGTCTTGATTTTCATTTGTTATGATAAAGATGCAAATTTTCCCACTGGACATAAAAAAAAGGTGAAATTTATCCACTGATAAGTTTCTATATGATTTTAATTCACAGTTATTTAAAAAATTCATTTTTTTACAATATAAAAATAAAAAAATGCAAATTGCATGTAATTTCATTTTTATTCGTTCTATGAATTAAAGTAGATAATTATATTGTAAATTCTATATACATATAATAAGAAATTATTTCGTTTTTCTTTTTAGCTGAAAATAATGTGGAAAAAACAATATGTGTTGAGTGAGAATAATTGAGGACCCCAATTTTCAAGGAGGCTCAAAAATATAAAGTTAGATTTTTATTTGATAAAAAGTTCAACTTTTTGAATCGAATTTCAAATTTACTACTTTGTTGTAATTTATTATTTTCCTTTTCCTACATTAATAATATTGATATATATATTTTATTCATTTCTCCAATAAATTCATTTCGCCATTAAATTCATAAAAATTTTTCACTAATTTAGGGTAAGTGCATCAATTACGGCGCGTTTATAAAAAATAACTATTATTATATTTAATATAACTGTTGCAAAATGATTTTAAAAAATTAATTTACTCTTTTTTTGATACAATTACTAATAAAGATGAACATAATTTACACAATTATTAATTTAATTAATTGAGATCAAATTTTTTCCCTCGCCGTAATTGAATCATTTTTAATATTTCCATTGGCTCTAATTACGGCGGGCAAAGTATATTTTCAAAATACACGTAATTTTGGTCACCGCGATTGATACACCGAAACTAACGCTTCATAATAGAAAATTACGGTATTAGTTTTAATTTCTCATATTTGTTTAAATAATCGATTTTTATAAAATTAAAATTTTTTGCTTAACATCTAAATAACATAAGCTTTTAGTTTAATAAGTCTTAAATTGACTTAATACAATAGAAATATCGAATTTTCTATTTTAAAGGTGTTTTGACTCGAATCGCGCCGTAATTAGTGCATTTACCCTAGTTTCTTATTTATAAAAATAAATAATAAAAATAACTCTATAAAATAATATTTGTTTATTTGACGATTTTTCAATATCAATTTATTTAAAAAATTATGAACTAAAATAAAATTTTAAAAGAAAAAAATTTGTTTTTTTGACGAATTTTCGATTTTTCAACACAAGTCATGTAGTTTACAACAAAATTAAAAAAAAAATGGAATTTTAAAAAGGAATAGCTATTTGTTTTTTGAAAATTTTTCTATTTTTGAGGAACAACTTTTGACAAAATGACCTATAAAATTGTTTTCTTTTGATTTTCAAACACACATGATACAGACTGAATAAAAAAAGGACAAAAAAAGTTTACAAATTGACAAAAAATATTGTTTTTTTTTTTAAATAATTTTTTTTTTTTTTTTGCTCCATACTTTTCCCATATTTTGTCAATACTCGGAGAAATAAGAAATGAATTTTTAAAAAGTCAGATTTTTAAAGAAATTATTTTTTTGTTGCCCGATTTTTTGAAATTTAAGAAATTTGACAAAAAAAATGATTATTGTTAAATATTTGCATTTTTTTTTCATCCCATACTTTTAATAAACTTTGAAATTTTTTATTTTAAATAAATTCATTTTTCCTCCTTTTTTAGCTAAAAATATTTTTATGAAACTTTAAAATTTGCAAATTTTTTATGAAACATAATAAAATTATTAAGAATATTAATATTTTTTTTAACCCATACTTTCATTTTTACGCGGGCATGTTTGAGTTTAAAAATGTTTTTTTTTTTTTTTTTTTTTAATAGAAATGTGAGTTCTAAATATAATTTATTTTTTCAAAAAAATTTTTGTATCACAAATTAGCAAAAATTAGTACAAAAAATATTTTTTTAAAATAACAAAATGGTTTAGGGTCAGTTGGAGTAAGTGGGAACAAAATCGCTATTTTTCACAAATTACGTAAGTTTCTTCCTTTAAAAGGTAATATTTGTGGGTTTATTTTTTTTTTAAAGTTGTTATTTACATTCCCAGGATTAATTTTATGTAGCAGAAAAAAATTTAGATAAGCTTTAAATGCATGAAACTGACTGTCCCCATTTACCCCAAAATTTAGAAAATTTCAGAAAATTTGGGGTAAATGGGGACAGCTTGTCATTATTAACCAAATTGACAAAAACCAAAAATTCAAGTGAATTTCCGTTATAGGAGTCATAAGGAATAAGAAAAAATTTTGGTATGATTTTTAAGTCTGTTTTCTTTGAAATGCTCGACAAAATACTGAAACAGTTTGACTTTGATTTTCAAATTTTTATGCATTGAACCCTGTCCCCATTTACCCCAACTGACCCTATAATAATTTTTTTAAATTAAAATTTTAAAAATACAAAATTAACTTAAAATCAATAAAAATCGATATTCTTCGATACTAAATAATAAATAAATTGACACCATTTAAGAAAGGAACGAAAGAAGAAAATTTGAATGTAAATAATTCACAAATAATTCGATCGAAAGTGTTTGCAAAAGCATCGGTGTTTGTGTGTAAATTGCGTGACGTGTTTGCGTGAGTGATAGGGACGATTGTGTTTCCGGCGAATCGTGATTTAGAAAGCTTTAGTCAAGTTTAAAGTAGACAGAAAATTCTTAAAACGCACATTAATCTATATTGGATTAAATATATATACATATACATTTCACACAAAAACTACGTATATTAAACATCAAATATAAATTTATTGTTACATTTAAAAATTTATTTTCAAAATAAATTTTAATTATACATTGAAAATGAGAAAAATGTCATTATAATATATCTAATTATAATTTTCTGGCAGTTATATTTATATTTATAGAATATGTAAAATTAATTAAACATTAATACTGTTCTTAATAATCGTAAGTTTAAATATAACAGGCGTGGAAAATCTTACAGAAGTATATATACAAATATTTGTTAGAAAAGTGCTTATTTTTAAAAATTACAAAATTATCTTTTTGACATTAAAATATTCTATATATATATTTTTTTTATTTTGTAAATCGTAAATTCTCTGCTGTTGATATTAAAATAACGAAAAAAAAATAGATAAAAAAAACTATTCTATTTTTATATCAAGAAATTGTAAAATTTTGATTAATTGCTCTGTTGGAATGGATTATTAATACGTTCAACTTTTGCAGTTCTAAATCTTGTCAATAATGATTCGGAATTATTGAATTGTGTATTATTATTTGTATTTTCAATTTCCTTATTATTCTCAGGTGGATCTATTAATGGTACGGCTTGAATAAATCTCAATTCTTTTTCAGGTGGTTCAGTTGTTTTTGCAATCCATTTTCGATTTCTTATTGATGTACTGTTTGTTACTTTTTGAATTTCTGTTGTCGTCACGGGACTTTTTTCACCTGGTGGTGGTTCACAATGTAGATAAGCAACGGGCCAACGTCTGCTTAGGAAATTTTTATCCAGATCGTCGTCATCGATACGACGTTCCATTTCCTGATGCCCTCGTTGTGGATGAATTATTGGCCGCGAACTCGGTAGATAAGGGAAATATTTTTCACTACAAGGTCTCCACTGTTTTTCTGATGGTCCCACGTAACACCTTTTTTTAGATAAACGAAAAAAAATATTTTTGCTTTGAATTGTGTTAACTCATTTAAAAATATTTACATTTTTTTAAAATTCTAGTTGAAGTAACAAAAATTTTGCTTTTATGAATAAATATATTTTAATGAAAATCAAATTACCAAGGATAATCAAAGCCTTTTGAATAGCCACAATGACTCTTTGGTTGACAACAGTAGTCCCAAGAACCTAATTCACTTCCTTCCGTTTCACAAGACCAGAATCCAGTAATTTTATTACTTTCACATTTAGTTCCTCGTTTACATGGATATCCATTCACTGTATAATGTTGGAATATTGTTTGATCGTTTGCTAAAAGAAAACATAAGTTCAGTTGTTAAATTATTTCTAAACATGGAATTCTATTAAAACTGTACAAATTTTAGTTAATAAAACGTTTTTAAAATATACAGGCATTCTAAAATAACATTTTAAGGACGTTTCATGTTTTAAAAAAATGTTTGAAAACATTGAAATTAATTTTAAAAAAGTTTATCATATTGTATTTTTTAAATCTGACTTTAAATTCGTATTCAACGACCCCGAGAACCCCCGAGTAACAAATTTTTAGCAAATTGAATTAGTGTTTAAAAAATTTGTCCTCATGTGTAACTATCATAGAATACTACTGCGCATTCGTAACTATCGTAGAACACTACTGCGCATGTGTAACTATGATATAACGCTACTGCGCATGTGTACCTATCGTAGAACACTACTGCGCATGTGTAACTATCATAGAATACTACTGCGCATGTGTAACTATCGTAGAACACTACTGCGCATGTGTAACTATGATATAACGCTACTGCGCATGTGTAACTATCGTAGAACACTACTGCGCATGTGTAACTATGATATAACGCTACTGCGCATGGGTAAATATCATAGAATACTACTGCGCATGTGTAACTATCATAAAATACTACTGCGCATGTGTAACTATCATAGAATACTACTGCGCATGTGTAACTATCATAAAATACTACTGCGCATGTGTAACTGTCAAAGAACACCCTGGCGGATTCGATTTGCGTAATGTCTACTTAACTAAGCGGACTTTAGGTAGACATTAGGTAGACATGTAAAAAAACGTATAAAAAAGCTATTAATCGACTTATTATGATAAAAAAAAGTTGATAAAAGGGTAAATGAATGTTTATAGAGTAAATTCGTACAAAATTTGTAATTAATAAAGCAATAAATAATTAATAATGAATGGAAATGTGCGCGAGGTACCTGATCAGTTCAGCTGTACAATTATTTTCGTGCTATTTTCATGAAAAGAATATAAATTAACTGCAAAAACAATTGATATTTATAAAAAAGTGTAAAATTGATTTAATTTTATTGTTTGCAATACGAATTATTAAATAATAATTAAGTTTTTATCAAATGTGAATAGTGTTGTGAAAACCTGTGAAAACTAATGAGTTACTACATTACCGATCGCATATGAGAGATGGCGCCACCAGTTTTTACAATACAGTGCGAGCATGTTTTCTTCCAAGCTTTTGCTTTGAAAGAAAATAAAAAGTGAATTTTAAAATGCAGAATAAAGTTATACAAATAATTATTGATTTCCTAATTGTTTCTCGTCCAAAATTACGGACATGATTGCAGCTTTTTTGTTACACTCATCGAGAACTTTTTATTATCATATGCGATCAGTAATGTAGTAACTCATTAGTTTTCACAGGTTTTCACAACACTATTCACATTTGATAAAAACTTAATTATTATTTAATAATTCGTATTGCAAACAATAAAATTAAATCAATTTTACACTTTTTTATAAATATCAATTGTTTTTGCAGTTAATTTATATTCTTTTCATGAAAATAGCACGAAAATAATTGTACAGCTGAACTGATCAGGTACCTCGCGCACATTTCCATTCATTATTAATTATTTATTGCTTTATTAATTACAAATTTTGTACGAATTTACTCTATAAACATTCATTTACCCTTTTATCAACTTTTTTTTATCATAATAAGTCGATTAATAGCTTTTTTATACGTTTTTTTACATGTCTACCTAATGTCTACCTAAAGTCCGCTTAGTTAAGTAGACATTACGCAAATCGAATCCGCCAGGGCACTACTGCGCATGAGTAAATATCGTAGAATACTACTGCGCATGTGTAACTATCATATAACGCTACTGCGCATGGGTAACTATCGTAGAATATTACTGCGCATGTGCAGTTATACGAATAGTGGTTAGTGTCTTGAGCGTGGAGTGACAAAAAAGTGTTGTAGTGTAAATGGAAAGGAATGTGAATGTAATTTGTCAAAAAAGCAATGAAGGAAGTAAATTAATGTCGATAAAGTAGAGCTCTGAAATTTAATGTCGAGTTTAATGGAGAATGATGACTAAAGTAATGTGGATCAGATGCAAAAATTTAAATATCTAAAACAAATAGCAAAATATTTAAGAATATAAGAAATATTTTGATCTAGAATGATAATCTGTTAAATTAATTTAAAAAAAAAGAAATTAGTAACTGATGATAGTAGTAAATAAACAACTTACGAATAAATGCTCCTAATCTATTGTCATGATCTCCATCAGGATAATGCATTTTATCATCAGACATTCCTCCATTATAATGAGAACCAAGACTTCCTTTATCAGAATCAAGTGGTATTACTCCTGGATAGTCATCATGAATATGATTACCATCGGGTGGTGGATATCTATTACCATTGAAATAAGGTCGTCGGCGATTTGGATCAGGACGTTGAAAATCTGGTGGAGGTCTACCATATAAATGTAAAGGAGGTCTACCACTGTCATGAGGTAGATAATCAGAACCAGGTCTATCATATTCCATTTGAGATGGTCTTCTAAGAAGAAGTTTGTAATCAAATCCCGGTCTTCCTTTATCAGTAAGTGGATAATAATATCTAGGATTTTCATTATCACGAGGTGGACAATCATATCCCGGTCTCCCTTTATCGGGAAGAGGAGGTGGTGGTGGATAATGATATTCAGGATCACTAGGAGGAGGTGGATAGTAAAATGCAGGTTTTCCTTTATCAGGAGGAGGATAATGATAACCTGGACTATCATTATCAGATGGTGGATAATCAAATCCAGGTTTTCCTTTATCAGGTGGAGGATAATCAAAACTGGGTTTTCCTTTATTAGGTGGTGGATAATGATATCCTTGATTGTCACTGTCAGGTGGTGGATAATCAAAACTTGGTTTCCCTTTGTCAGGTGGAGGATAATGATATCCTGGATTGTCACCATCAGGAGGTGGCTTAGGACGATCATCGTAATCCGATGGTCTTGTAACATCGGCAAAATTAAGTGGTCTTCCTGGCTCTGATGCTGGTCCAACGATGTGATATGAGTCATCTTTTTGTTGACATCTTGATTCTAATTCCTTCCATGCAAATAATACATGATCGTCATCATAGACGTAATCTACACCTGGTCTTAAATCTCTGCTTGGAATGTCGCTCAGCAGGCAATTATTGTCTGATTTATCTCCTCTGATTCTGAAATTATTATTTAGTTCACCAAGGAATATTTTACTAACGAAAAATAATAGAATATTTAGACTTACTTGTAACTGTACGCCCAACAAGGAACATCGTCTCTGTGTCTCATTTTTGTACATCTTTTACGACAATCTAATTCAGTATCAACACGCATTGACAATGTTATCGAATACGGAGATAGTCTACAAGGTCTTCGGAAGGTACTGTAACACACTGAATTAAGAGAAAGGATTTAATTTCAATAATAATTTACAATAAAGTAAATTGTATTCTGTAACTACTAACTACCTTCTTCTTCGTATTGAACTTCTCTGTCCGTGGGTGGTAAAGTTGGTTTTAACGGATATGGTTCGCATCCTCTTCCAAAACTACCTCTTTCATATAATTCGGCACCATCAAAATCGACCAATTTTTCAGGACTTATTTCCTGTGTTGACCAGTTGCTCAAAAAACAATTTTTCGAATCATCAGATTCTCCCTGACTGTGTCTGTAATTAAACATTTAATAATTAGTAAAGAAAAACAGAAAATATTGAGATGTGATGAAAATTGTGCATTAATTTTACACAACCTGAATACGAAGCTCCTACAAGTAAACTCTTGTGATTTAATACATTCTGCCTCACAATCTCCAAAACCAGCAACAGTGAGTTTATCCTTTATCACATCTTCTGGCATTCCAAAACCACTCTTTACTCTCCAAAAACATTCTGCAATTCAAAACTTTCAATAATTTTTCACCTCTAATATAGATTTCGATTGATATACAAAATAAAGGATTAAAGATTTTTTTTTTTTTTTAGGAAATGAAAGATCATTCATCAGCAGTAGAATTAGAAATAGTTATATATAGAAATATTTTCTTTTAATTGTTTGTAATACCGTCTGGTGGCTGTTGTGAGGATTGCTTAGCTGGTATACAATTTTTTCTATCTTTTGACATTACATAGATATCATAATTTCGATCTGGTTCAATGTCATCATAAAAATTTAGGTCTTTATAAGCAATTCCACTTAGATGACAATTATTCGTCGGATCTGTAGATTCTACATTATACCTGTATAAATTAAAATTATTTTTTAACAAATAATATTTAATGCAGTGTTTAATAAAATAGAGTTGCCTTCTTAAGTAAAAGTTAAATTTTCAAAAAAAATTTTTTTTTTATATATACCTATAAGAAAATGTTTTGCAAATTATCGTTTTTTCTTGAAGACACAAATTTTCACAATCGTCGACATTTTGAGCTAAATATGTACTACGAATAAGACTCCTTTCAATTTTAAATCCAGCTCCGGTTCTTACGGAACAATCACGTATATATCCGGTTCCACCATAAGTCACGTCTCTATCCCTTGGAATATAATTGTCTCCGTAACCAAAAGCACCACCATAGTTATAAAATTGACCATAAACGTGATTATTGCTAAATGGTCGTGGATGTTTATGATGATTATTATCAATTTTCGGAGGATTGTAATTTGCTACATGATTGGTATCATAGCCATATTGACTTCCATAAGTTCCACCAGAATATCCCCAATGGTGATTGGGATCCTTTCGATGATCGACTATAAACGGTGGTCCCATTTGATTTGTATCAGACACTGTAAGTTTGCCAAAAAAAAATAATGTTAATCAACATTTTCCCTTAAATGTGAATTTTCTCTAATGAATCATTTTAAAAAAATTACTTTTTTGTGACCAAGAGAATTTAATGTGTGCATCAAATACAGAAAAGAATTCTCCTCTACTTACTGGAATCAGGATATCTATGGCTATCTCGTATAGGTGGATATTTTGGATAATAATTCACTTTCGGTGGATATTGTGGATAATCATCCATGTCCATTATTCTAAAAGAATTTCGTCCATCGTCGTGTATTCTTGAGGGATATGATTTTCGATATTCATAATCTCCATAATCTGGACCTCTTCGTCCACCTCCGCCACGTCGATAAAATATTTGATTTTGTTGACCATAAGGTCTTAAATTATGACGAGAATCATCATCATAATGTGTTTCATATCCAGGACGTCGATCATAATCTTTTGGCTTTCCATAGAAATCGTCTGGTATCCGGTCTCCGAAGCGTGGAGAAAATTCTCTATCCAATTGCCGTGTCCTCCAAGACTCGTCTGTAAGTCCCAATGGTCTATAAGGTGACTTTGATGCAGGATATCTCCACTCATTTTCATTATTATAACTGTGACCAGTTATTCTTCGATAACAAGAAGCATCTCTTCCATGATAATCATATTGTGAATCTGTTGTGAAATCTTTGCTGAGATCCATTCTTGAAAATGGCATTGATACCAATTCACAAATCCCTCGAGATCCAGAATTTATTCGTCTAAGTGAATACAATTTTTTTTTTAAATAAAAATTTGTTTAAATTTAGCGATTATTTAATTTATTAATATTTCTTTAATTTACTGTCACTCGGGATAATTATAAAATTGACAGGGGATAGTATATATAACCATTGTCAGTTTTTAATGAAAAAAAATTGCTTTCAAATATTTAAATATGCCGCTTAAATATTGTTTGATAGTTACACTACAAAGGACACTAAATTTAATTACTTAATTTTTTGTCAGAAAGCAGAAAAAAATTCGTAAAATTGTGAACTGAAAAACTAGGATTTCCTGTGTAATACTCATTTTACTCATGGTTTATACTAATTTTTTAATATCAATTACAAAATTTTGACTTCTTTGAAACCAAGAACCGCAGACTATACTTTTAAAAATTATTTAATTGGCTCTGAGTTATCGTCATTTAAATTTTCTGAATTTGGTGAATTTTTTAATAAATTCATAAACTGAGTAATAGTATCAGAAAATTCAAATGACGATAACTCAGAATCAAATAAATATTTTTTAAAGTTTCAAAATACATTTTAAATGGTAAGAATAGTACTTTCAAATGCTGTAACAACACAGAAAATTAAAAGGCATTAAAATAAGCTGCAACGCTTATTATTTTAATCCAATTTTGCTTACTTTAATCCATTTTGGTATTAAAATAAGCAAAATTGGATTAAAATAATAAGCGTTGCAGCTTATTTTAATGCCTTTTAATTTTCAAAAAAAAACGTTTTCAGTAAAATTTTTACAAAAAAGATTTCATACATATAAAATTAAAAAAAAATGTTTAGGCTATTTTATAAATAAACAAACTTTAATGGGTATAATAGCCCCAATTACGGGGATAATATACCCACGACTTTAAGTTTCTGTATAACTCCGGCAAGAAAAAATTTTTTTTCGCCTAAATTATTATGAACTCTTCTCAAGAACGTACACAACATAACGTAGTAGTTAAATTTTTTTTTAATTTGGAATTTTAATGACGTGTTGAGTAAAAAAAATAGCTTTTTTATGGGTATAATTACCCCGGTTGACGATAGTCCTTAAAAATCTTTAACCATATTTTACTTTCAGTAAAAAATTAATTGAATATTTGTACTTTTTTTTCATCAAATGAAAATATTTGTAATTATGTTAATTATTTTATATTTACTATTTTATCAATTAAATGTAGGATAAATTTTGAAAAAAATTAATTTAATATAAAACCTACATACTTTAAAAGCATAAATAGATACAAAAGAAATACATATTTCCACAAATTGATTTTACACCTTTATATAGTTATAAAAAAAAAAGAAAAAATTGTGTAATTGGTCTAATTGCCTACTTTTTTTTAGAATATTGAATAGTGACGGTAAAAGCAGAGGGGAATTTTGATCGCTAGTGCGAGACGAAGGGCAAAGTGCGGAAATAAGGTTCTAAATATCGTAACACATTTCATAATATAAAGATATATATCCCTTTGATAGAATACAAAAAAGGGACAAAAAATGACGGATATAATATTACAATTATTTTGAATAAGAATAAATTTTTCATTCAAATTTCTTTCATATAATTCTAAATATTATGTTTTAAAACTAAATTATTGATAATACTTAATTTTTACAAGGTCTTTTTATGAATAATTATCGAAGTCACTTTTGATGTTTCATTTTGTTAAATGTTATTTAATTTCACAAAACGATAATATGTTTCGACATAAGTGTAGAGCATTCCATTTCAAATTTTGATTTAAAATTTTTTTTTTTTTTTGACTATATAGAATTAATAATTTTTCGATTAGGTATAAATTCTATAGTATGGAAAATCGATTATATGGAAATTCTATCAAATAATAATTGGACCAAATGAAAATTCTATACAGTGAAATTCTAATTAATAAAAATTCATGAAAATTGCTATTATGTTAAATGAAAATTCGTTCAAATAAAAATTCGGTGAAATAAAAAATTATGTGAAGTGAATTTTTGGTTACATAAAAATTCGGGACGCGTGATTATTATGTTCTAAAATTCGGTAGTTAGAATTTTCATTTTATGGAACTTTATTTGTCATATTTATTTTTGAGCCGAATTTTTATTTGTTCGAATCTTGCAGAACTTTCAAAAGAACGATTTTCTATATTACAGAATTTTTATGTAACCAAAAATTTACTTCACATAATTTTTTATTTCACCGAATTTTTATTTGCTCGAATTTTCATTTAACATAATAGGCATTTTAATGCGAAAAATCATTTAACAGAATTTCTAATTCATAGAATTTTTTTTTGCCCAAAATTGCAAATGGCCGAACAAACAATCGACAGAAAGATTTCGGCGCGATTTTTAAATTCAACCAATCAAAAATTATCCATAAAATTGTGATTGGTTGATTTTAAAAATCGCGCCGAAATCTTTCTGTCGATTGTTTGTTTGGCCATTTGCAATTTCGGACAAATGAAAATTCTATCAATTAGAAATTCTGTTAAATGATTTTTTCGGTTAAGTAAAAACCCTAATAACACAAGATATCTTGAGATATATTGATAATATCCCGCAGATATCCTAGGGATGTCCTATGGATATCAAAAGGATCTCTTAAGGATATCCAAAAAATCGGAGGTTTGGATATCCTTTAGATATCCCATGGATATCTGAGGATATCCACATGATATCTTCTGGATATCTCTATAGATTTTCATAAATGTCCTCCAGATATCCCATAGATATCGTTAGGATATCCCACAGGTATTTTCAGGATATTCTCAGTATATCTTCTGGATGTTAAGAAGATATTCTCAGGATACTGTTTTTAAAGTCATTATGAGACTACGAGTGAGAATATTCTGTGAATTAAATTTTATATAAATAAAATAAAATGCAACTTGTTTTTCGAGAAAGTTGTTTAATTTGAAAAATTATTAACTAATTTTTTTCTCATTCGTGATTCATTCCTTTATTCATATGCTTAATATTGTCAGAAAATAAATTGGCTTTAAACAATATAAATTCTTCCCCGCAAATAACGAATAACTATTAATATTAATTATACATTAAGTGCATGAGTTTACTTAAAAACTTTGAAAAATGCGTTTCAAATCTTCATTTAAAATAAATTAGAAACTCATAAGATTTTTCTTTTTATTATATTATTATTCATTATATTAGCTTAACAATTTTAACCTTTAAAAATATATGTTAAGATATTAAATATCCCGTGAATATCCTAAGAATATCCCACGGACATCCTGAGGATATCCCATGGATATCCTGCGATATAATATCCAATAGATATTTTGTGGATGTCTTAGGGATATCCTATGGATGTAATGTTGATATCCCACAGACCGGCGGTTTGGATATCCTATGGATATCCCAAGATATCCTGGGGACCATTCTAGGATATCGACCATTGATATGGATATCCTATGGATATCCTAGGAATATCCTTTTGTTATGAGGGAATTATGTATTATGAAAAATCGAAAAAAAATGTGATTGAAAAATTTACATGAAATGCCCTATATTATAATCTCATCATCATATATTTTTTAATTTTTTAAGAAAAAATAAATAAATTTCTTAATTAAAAAAAAATTAATTAATTTAAATAAGAAATAAATTTCAAATGATTAAAAAATATAAAATTAAATTATGTTTTACGCGGAACATAATATTAATTTTGAAAAAAATAACATAACTATATAACAATGCGATTGAATATAATTAATTTATGTTTATGTTTGCTTACCTATAACTGAAACCCTCACATAGAACAGTTTTTTGCATTTCACACTCCTGTCGACAGTCTTCCAATCTCTCGCATTCTAATGTATTTCTTATGTGAACTTCAGCAACTTTTTTCCCTGGTATTTTTCGATAACAAGCTGGGTACACATCATAAACATAATCTTATTAATTTATGAAGTTAACTTTATATTTCTTAATCTAATTGCAAATGCATGGATAAAAAAAAAATTATTTATCTCATTGTTGGATTGAAAATAAAAATTTTTTATTCAAAAATAGTTTTCGATTTTTGAGCATACATTTTTGTTACTTATAAAATGTTTTTTTTTTAAATTTTATTTAAATTTTTTTAAATTTAATAATAATGAAATTAATTTTAAAAAGAAATTATAAAAATAATAATTTAATATTTAAATTACATTAAAAAATAAATTGAATATTTTTGAATTAGAATAATTAAAATGAAAAATCAAATATAACTAATCTTGAATAAAAAAATTATTCTTTACTGAAAAAATATTTTTAATTAAAAATTGTTTTTTCTATTGAATTTATTTTTAAAAAAAATTTTTTAAATTGTTCATTAATTATTTTTCGTAATTAACTGTCTTTTTAACGCTAATACGCTTAGAGGGAGTTTTTTTTTATTCGAACCAAATATGCATTATTCGAATTAAATAAAAAATATATTCAACTCAGAGATAAATATTTAATTTAATTTTGGCTAAAAATTTTGTTTTATATAAACCCAATACAATTTATTTGATTCAAAAAAAATTTTTATCTGAACAAATTAAATATTTATGTGAACCTAAAAAAAAAAAATTTGTCTCAAAAAAATTTTTGTATTTAAATTAAGAAATTGAAAATTTATTTGGCACAAAAGAAATTTTTATCTCAACAAATTAAAATTTTATATGAATCCAAAAAAAAATTTATTTGTCTCAAAATTTTTTTTGTATTTAAATAAAATAAAATTTATTTAGCTCAAAAGAAAATTTTTTTCTGAAACAAATTAAAATTTATGTGAATCCAAAAAATTTTTTTTATTTAAATCCAATAAAATTTATTTGGTCCATAAGAAATTTTTATTTAAATCAATTAAAACTGATTTGAAAACAAATAAATATTTATTTAGCTCCAAGAGAAATATATATTTTTTTTCGTCGTGTAAATTTTTTTTTTTTTTTTGACATTTTTGCTTACTTAAACAAAAGACATTTGGTTCCTGTATTGTAATGAGTGATGTGGCCTCAGAATAGCGAAGAATTATCTCCGCCAAAATGAGAAATAGCCACAGTGGCACTAACAATTTTCTCTCACTTTTCCACATTTTTTTTTTTTTACAATCACTTTAATGATTTTCCCAAAAAAGAAAAAAAAAATATCCACTATCACCGCATTATTAATAGTTTCACTTCTATTAAATTCATGTCATTAAAAATATTTCTCTAAAAAAATTTCTTCCCCAAAAATCAATTTTACCAATTCAAACAAAAAAAAAATCAGTTTTTTTTCTTTTTATACAATATTATAATAAGCATATTTAAATCACACTATTTTTCACAGTAAAACTTGAAAGGCACATTTATTTTGAATTCCACGTATCGCGCGTAAAATCCACTATTATCCATATTTTTTTTTTTTGGAAATGATATACGTGCACAGAAAAAAATCAGAGAAAAATAATGAATATGTTAGAAGCGCGGGGCGTTTTATAGAAAAGTGAATGTTTCCGTGGGATTAGTGGGAGGACCAGCGTAACAATAAGGAGGGGTTTAACGTAACGCGATCATTACTATGACACCTCTATTATTCATATTTTTTTTTTTTCTATTTCAGGTGCTACACGCAAGCACATCAATGTAATAATTATTACACACAAAGTGCAACAAGCGCGAAGGAATCATTTAATTTTTGTTTCATGATATATATATATAGGTACAGCTGAAAGAAAAGAAGTTTTTCTTTTATATATATTGAGTGTTTTTATCATTACATCTCATGAGAAAGAATAGCGGAATACAATAAGTTGTTAAAATCCTCATTTATTGGTCTTTATGAACATTTAATAAGACATTTTCAATAATACTTAGAAAAATGAATTTTTAATTTAAATATAGCTGTTTGAACGATTTTGTTTAATTAACACAGTTTGTAAGTTTTGTTTTAATATTTAGAAAATATCTATATCAGTTTTAATGCAAAATATAATCGATTTAAACTTAAGGGTTAGTTTAGAATAGGTTTTCCACTGAGTTTCAAGTAGAACGTCTGAAATATGTCATATTTTTATATTTTTGACAACTACTTCACCCTGCTTTTTTCTATTCTATAGTTCCCTGCCATGTATCGAAAAAAGCTACCATTCCCTGCAAAGTGTCACAATTCGAATGTTTCACTAATTATTTTAATATTTGTGGCAATAAAATTTTGACATGATTCTTAACCTAAAAAATTATTTTTCGTGTATCGTTCGGAGATCATTTTTTAAGTTCAAGTTTATTATGTGTGTATTAAATTTATTGTATTTTTATCAACTATTTAATCGTGTAAATTTTATTAGAAATTTTTTTTTTTTTTTTTTGTCTAAGTTACGAGAACCAAAATTTTGTACCTTAACAGCCCCACAGTTAGGGCTATTATGATACAAATATTTTTTACGTTCATGAAATAAATAAAGTAAACAATTTTTTTCACATTAAACTGTATAGAAATTTTTAACTGATATATTCTAGAAAATAATTTTAAAAAAATTATTGAAAAATTATTATTATCGGAATTTTATTATAATTCTTGAAATTTTTTCTGGTTAGGGATGATATTTAAAAAAAAAAATTTAATTACACTCGAATCTCGTTATAACGAATCTCGATACAACGTTCGCTTGTTATTACGAACACCAAAACTCTTTATATAACGACAAAAATTTGTCCCCTTTACCCCCACCAATTTAAAAAAAACACGATCGAATTTAAATATGTAAGCTATTAGATTCATCAATTTAAAAAGTTTTTTGTTGCTCAATTAACTTGTATGAGGTTAAATAGTAACCAACTACATACTTAATTAGTTTAACCGCAATATTTCGGTAATTACAAACAAATATTTATTTTTTGAAACCTTGTAATTTCACTTATAAAATAATCAGAAATTACTTACTTTTTTATCCGATTCCATAATTGGAAATTAATATCATTCGTATATGTATACACTAAAGAATGTTTATATTAAATGTCAAACAAATTTGACATATTGTAAAGTTGGTTACAGATAAATTCACGTTTTTAAATAGAATGTGAAGTGGGGGCCCCTCTTGTCATCGTTATATCGAGATTTTAAAGTCCCGACCTTGTCGTTATAACGAGATTTAAGTGTAACCCATTTCAAATTTTAATCGACTTTCTGGTTTAGAAATGACAAAAGTACACACTTTTTAAAAATATTGTAAAATATGTATTAGTATTATCATTTACTAAAATAATTTTTTTTTGACGAAGCTGAAGTACGCAACGTTTATGATAAATGATTTTTAAAGAAATAATTTTTTAAAATGAAAAATTCTATAATTTTTCGTCTAAAATATATTTCTTGTTGTTTTCATTATAATCAACAAATTATAAAAAAATATTTTTTAGGCAAAAAATTATAGAATTTTTCATTTTAAAAAATTATTTCTTTAAAAATCGTTTATCATAAACGTTGCGTACTTCAGCTTCGTCAAAAAGAATTAGTTTAGTAAATAATAATACTAATACATATTTTACAATATTTTTAAAAAGTGTGGTCATTTCTAAACCAGAAAGTCGCTTAAAATTTGAAATGGGTTAATTGAAATTTTTTTTTTTTAAATATCATCCCTAACCAGAAAAAATTTCAAGAATTATAATAAACATCTAACTCTATAAAAGTATTAAATTTAGAAATTTTTGCCAAGAGAAAAAAAGTTCCAGTTTTTCTTTAACATTCGAAATATGTTACCGAAAAAGAAAAACAATTTTTTATAAGGGTCAATCCATTATATTTCGACTGAAATCGTTGCTGACTAATTTTTAAAAATTATAATACTTTACAGGAATGATGTTGAAGTTATCAAAATCACGAAATGAAAAGAATTTTATTAAAAATTTAATTATTTATTGTAAAATATGAATTTAAAGTATATGAGGTGCTGAAAAGTGTCAATTTTTTAGCCATTAGAAAATATGCAAAAAAACATAGAATTTACCATAAAAATAAAAAAAAAATTATTTCAGGCTATATTGAAATGGGTTTTAAAGGTTTTAAATCAATATGAAGTTTGTTGACACCAGTGAAGCACCTTCACATTGATTTAAAACCCTATTGTCAATATAGCCTCAAAAATACGAAATTTTTAATCCGCTTTTTCTTTTGAAAATAGCTTCGGGACCAACGCGAAATTTTTAGAGTACGTTTATTTAGTGTCCATTTAAATAATTTTCGAAATCCCATATTTTTTCATTTTTCTCCAAGAAAGTTATTGACTTTCAAAAATAGTGAAAATGAACAAAGTGGCTACGTAAAAAAATTAGGGAGTTAACGTTACTGGGAGTTGGGAGTTAAATTTTTCGAATTAAAAATCAACTCAAAAAAGGAGTTATTAATGAAATTAACTCCTTAAAACCAACTCCCTAGGCATAAAATTAACTCGAAAAGCATTAAATCCCTTCGCTTCAACTCCAAAAGGGTGGGACTTTTATAGCATCCCCTAGGGAGTTGAAATTCAACTCCTTTTTTTACAGTGCAGTAAAAAGCAAGGAATTGAAAGGAATTAAAATTTTGTAATTCTTCTGAATTTCGTTTCTGTCCAATTCTTTTATATCCATCTTGGGTACTCGAAAATAATGCTGGTTAAATTCTTTTCGATTCCGTTTTAAAATTTTGTACAGAAAAAAATTTGACGGTCCGAAGATTTGAACTTTTGATTTTCAATGTTGGAGCCAAACAACTGTTCCGCGCAGCCGTATCAACTGAATTGTAGATATTTGATTTTAAACGTACTTACTGTAGAATATTACGGAATTCCAAAGAATTATAAAGTTAGCGAAATATCAAAACGGAATTGATAGAAATTGAGTTTCAGGTATCACTGAAATATTTAGTCCGAATTACTTATTCAGTATTTTGGAATTCAAAAGAATTAAAAAATTAGAGAAATATTAAAACGGAATTGATAGGAATTGAGTTTCAAGCAATCTTATTCTCAACAAGGAATACATAGGAATTGGACACAAACAGAATTAAAGACAATTGATAATTTATCCTTTTCAAAGAATAAGTTAAAATTTTTCAATTCTTTTAAATTCATCACTTCTTACTGGGTATTTTAATTAAAAAATTTTTTTTCTATACTTATTAAGAAAAGAGAAGAAAATTGCAAAGAAATTCTAAAAATTTATGACAAGAACTTTATATTTGTTAAGTTTCTGTATTTAATTTAATGTTTCCTATTTTTAATAATTAATGCATAATAATAGCAAAATTAGGTTATTTGACAAGTTCAATTGAAAATCATAATTTATATATTATTTCACATCTTTAAATAATTATATCAATATTGATAATGATAGCACAAATTTCTGAATTAACACTTTATTACACTGAAGTTTGAATTAACACTTTATTATCAGGGGGCGTCGAATTGACTTTATTTTTAATTTTATAATACAAAATTGAGACATTTTATGTATAAAATATAAAAGCACAGAATTTTTTTTCCCTTTTTTTAAGAAACGTATAATAATTATATTTTTAATGTTTTACTGATTGTACAAGAATAGCTCTTGGAGTACCATAATCCGGTGTACGGTATTAAATTAACTTTTTATGAAATTTTAATTATGGATAATTTAACGAATGTTTGCTTATAAGAATTGGCATTAAAAAAGAAAGAATTCGCGGATTTTCGTGGAAAAAAGGAAATTATTATATTTTTTTATTATTCAAAAAATATATGCAAAATAAGGCAAAACTAATAAATGATAATACAAGGTTTTTTTCGTGACATCATTTTAGAAGGGAGCGCATCTATGTCCTTGAAGATTCATCAGGGTCACAATTGTTTCGATAATTATTTCAGGAAGCCCAGTTTCCGTCTGAACGTCAACTTCTTTTACGCCCGAAAAACGCCGCGTTTCCTTTTTGCTTCAAATATGTATATATATGTTTTAATTACATGCCTCAGGTGTTAAAAATCTGTTATGTTTGTAGAAAATGACTTTTTTTTAACGATACATATATGTATAAAATGAAGGTTGTAAAAATTTATATAATTTGTTTAAATTATATATTTTCCATAAAGATTATTTTTAAAGATAGATGGCTATTTACATAAGGCAAAAGTTTATGAGAATATAAATATATGAAGATGTGTGTAATTTTGCATATTTACTGCTTCAAAAGTATAAAAATTCCAGGGTTATAGTGATAGAAATATATATATATATATTTTTTTTTAAATATGAATTTATTATAATTTTATTTTAATGATTCATTAATTTTTAAATGATTTTGTAAAAAATTTTGGTTATATTTAAATCTTGAAAATTTTGCGGAACTAATAAGTATAGAAGTGTATTTCTTGTAAAATACTTTCTCATTATGATGAGAATGTAATAAACATAGACTTTCATGTTAAGGGATTATGGCAGGTGTATATAGATGAACACATTGTGTGGCGTGTGTGCGACTAACACACCGGAAGTTGATGATTGCAGTGAGTTAATTCGCACAGTGCTTAAAATCCGTGTCAATGCCGTTGCATTTGTTAATCACAGATTGATGTACTCCGATAAACGCGAGCAAATAAATATTTTCGTTCAATTCGAATCCTATTGTCTATATATATATATTTTTAGTACTGTTTAACGATATATATTGGATGTATACAATGAACAAAGTCATTAAAATGTATTTTTTAAGTATGTTGCAATGTTAATGTACATTCAGAAAAAAATGCGTTTGTAACAACTAAATTTTACTTGAATCAACCAAATAAATAACAGAGTTAACAAAAATTTTTGTTGAATTAACAAAAAGTTCATTTGGCCCTACTAAATATTTAATAGTCTTTATTATATCAAAAATATTTAATAAAAACTGATTTGGGGGGGGGGGTAGAAAACTACCTCAGAGAAATTTCAAACAACGCCCCACAGAGGTCCTAAATAGTAAAAAATGGTAAAAGTTAAATCTTCACGCGAGTTTTCAATGAAAATAGGTCTATATAATATATTAATCGCCGCAGAATTACACCAGGAACTCACAAAAGTGCGATCTTAGAAAAAGATACATTATACTCCGAACTACGTTCGAAAAATACATTAAAAATGCAGTTTTTCTAATTTTATATTAAAATATTCTAAAATGATCCGGAAGGATTACTGAAGGTACTTAATAGTTTCAGTTGATAAATATGGTTCTAAAAAAAGTATAAACATAACCTCAAGTATTATAATATACATTTTTTAATGAAATAACAAAAGTATTTACACTTTTTATTAAAATAGACGAAACATTATACCCGTAGGTTATTCATGGTCATTATTATTTTTATTATTGCTATTATTATTACTATTATTATTATTATTATTATTAGTAATAGTAATAATGTTATTATTATTACTATCATTAAAAAATTATCCTAAACTGCATACTTATTAAAAATAGACTCAATTTTTTAGGAAATTATATATTTTAATAATAAAACTTTTCATCAAAATAATGAAATTTTGTTATTTGTTAAATTTTTCTTCTCAAGTAAAAAGTATCTGATATTAAAAATAGAGGAATTAAAATCATTAAATACCCTCAGTAATGCTTTTGGATGATTTGGAAAATTTTCAGATACAGAAAATTTGAGAAAAACTGCATTTTTAATGTATTTTTCGAACGTAGTGCAGAGTATAATGTATCTTTTTCTAAGCTTGCACTTTTGTGAGTTCGTGGTGTAATTCTGCGTCGAATGATATATTATAGACTTATTTTCATTGAAAACTCGCGTAAAGATTTAACTTTTACCATTTTTTGCCATTTTGGCCCAATGGGCAAAGGGACGTCTTAAAAACGTCTAAAAGACGTCTCATCTTGTCCGCGGACATCCGGGGACAATGATAGTATAGTCTTGGAGACATCATAAAGATAACTGAAAGACGTCCATATAAGGTTCTATGTCTGGTCCAAAAGATGTTCGAAAAATGTCTAAAAGATATAAAAAAGGACGTCTTTAAGACGTCCTTTTTACACCTCTTCAGATCTTCTTAAATATAGACATTTTTTCACAATATTTTCTAAGTTAAAATACATTAAGATTGTATTAAATTTATTTTAAGTTTTATTTTATATATTTTTAAAATTATACAGAATTAATGAAAAAATGTCTAATTAAATTATAGATTAAAATTATTTTATTATTCATTTTTTAAAGATTCGTCAATTAAATGACCGCACATATTGAAGGTTGGGCGCAGAACTTGATTATTACAATACAATCTTAATGAAATATTGGAAGTAAAAATTTTTGCCATTAAAAATATTTAGGAAAATTCAAAAAGCAAGATTTGTTAAATATCATCATTAAATATTCTGGAAACCTACTAGAAAATTGTTATTACACAATTTCATAATGAAATTTATAATTCAATAAATCATTAATAAAAAATAAAATAAATAATATTAATATATTAATAATAATACCAATTGGGACATATTGGAACCGTCATTTTGATATTTTTGATGTCATATTCCCTTGAACCAAATAATTTTTATTTGAGTAATTAAGATTTATGTGTTTCAAATACAGAAATTATTTGCTTAAATAAAGTTTATTTGGATTTAATTAAAAATTATTTGATAAACAAATAAAAAATATTTAACACAAATAAATATTTATTTGCTTATAATCAAGTAACCGATTATTAGAATCAAATAATATTTTTTCAGTCTATAAATTTATATAAAAAAAATTTATTAAATGAATTTTTAAAATCTATAATATATACGAATTAATTTTGACCATGAAATTGAGGACAAGGTGATTTATTTTAAAAAAATGTGAAACAAAATACAAAAAAAAGGTCAATAAGTGCATAAAATACCATTGACAAAAAGCTCATTAACTTACTTTTAGGGAAACTATTTCCACGTGTTCTATCATTGCCACCTGAGCTGCTATAATGAGAATAACTTTGTTCCGGTGTATTTTTGGAAACGGAAGTGCCTGGTGCAAGAGCAGTCTTTCGGAACCTGTCATTTTCAATTAATCTATGTGGACTCGTTGAATGTTCCCGGTTTCTATGATTATTATTCATATTACGTGAATTCCATGTTTTTCCTCCATTATCCACACCATACAATTCAAAAATAGAAACTGGTTTAAGATCCACACCTGTTCGACGACTAGAACCTTTTGAATTTGTTCCAGAATAACCCTCATTATACAAATTATGATCAATTACAAATCCATAAGATTTGGTCAATGGATTCTCATCAGATTTTGTGACAAATGGAATATCAGCATATATCGATTTATCAAAATCAAAATCTTTATTTCCTTCAGCTTTTGTACTTCCGGAGATGGTTAAATAAGTTTGATGAACAACTGGTTTTGAATTTGCAGACAAATCAGTTGGATAAAGATTTTTGCCAATGTAGAAATTACCAAATCCATTTTCTTCTGATTGACCTTTTGTCGATTCAATTGTATCAGTTTTGTGTCCAAATAATGATCCATATTCGAATTTATCGAAAAAAGATGGTACTTTTTCATTTGAATTGTCAAATTGATGAAAATTGTAATTATTATTGTCATGATGTTGAGTCGGCGTTTTATCGTGGGAATCCTTTTGATTTTTATTTCGTTCGATGTCGTAAGATCGAAAATCGTCATCATTAGTGGGGAACCATTTTTGATTAATTGTACTTCCGGTACGTCTTGATCCATTGGGTCTTGTCGATTGAAACATTCCACTGGGTTGCGATGGAAGTGGATTGTTCATAAAATTTATACCCGGCATTACTGTTGTTGTTGTTATATTGGACATTTGCATATTTCCACCATTGCCAAGACTGAATAGGCGATCAGCTTCGCAAAATGGTGTTCTTTGTGTTCTGACATAGACATCATAGTCTTCATCTGATAGTAGAATACTTGAATTTGGAACATCGTTACCCAGTAGGCAAGTTGCGTTTCCTCTCACTCCAATTCTATAATTTATGAGAATTTAAAAGAAAATTAGAAATTTTTAAATAAAATTAAAAATATTACACTTCACCCAGGTGAAAATGATTCGTACGAAAATCGTTTGGAATTCGTTCAGAATTTGTGTTAAATTCTTACAATAATTCGTGTGGCGTTTTAAAATAGAATTCGTCCGTAATTTAATCGTAATTTGTTTGGTTTTATTACGAAAAACGGATACAGAATTCTGCTTATAATATCTATGGTAAAATTTTTTTAAAATTCATGTTCAATTTTCTGTACGAATTGCAGACGTTTTTTTGAAAGGAATTACGCACTTAATTTTTGCTATAAATTTTTATTTAAATTCGATCAATTTTCTGTACGATATTCGTCCGAATTACTAACGTTCTTATTGAATTTATATATAAAATTATTTTAAAAATTCATTAATAATTCGCACGAACATTGTTCAAAAATTATCGTACGGAAAAATAGTCAACAATTTTACAGGAAATAACACAGAAAATTATAAGGTATTAAAATAAGCTGCAACGCTTATTATTTTAATCCAATTTTCCTTTTTTTAATTCCAAAATGGATTACAATAAGTAAAATTGAATTAAAATTCTGTTTCAAAACGACATACAAATTCTTGTAAGAATTTAACTCGAATTCTAAACGAATTACAAACTATCTTCGTACGAATCATTTTCACCTAAACGAGCACTATCGCTTGAAATAAATTTGGGTTTTACAAAAATTGTGACAAAATCGGGTAGTGGCATTTCATTCTTGTTTATTTTTAGAGCTTTAAAAATTATGAAAATCATTGAAAATTTTCTCAAATGTGTTTTGAAGAAAAATTAATTACTGATCTATTAAATCGAGTAATGTACGTTGGATCATTAAAAATATTAATTTTATAACGCTCCCAAAATTTTCACAGAAAATTAAAAGGCATTAAAATAAGCGTTGCAGCTTATTTTAATGCCTTTTAATTTTCTGTGTTAGAAACCCTCAGTGAATTAATTGTTCTGACCACAAACTTAAACCAAAATTTTCTAAGTTTCAACAGTCTTAAATATGTGATATTTAACAGTATTGTATTGTGAATACAGCCTATAAACAGTAAAATGTTTAATATAAACTTGTCAATTAAAATCATGCCTGCCATGACAGTTATACTTTGATACCAATTTAAATATCAAATAATGATCCGAATTTCTGGATCATTTCTAAAAAATTATCCCAATATTTGGATCAATTTGATACCTTATATCGAATCAAAACGTTGTATTCCAAAATGATATCAAATTAGTAGTAATTTTAATATCTAAGGTTTTGGGAGTATTATAAAATTAATAAATTATTAATGATCTAATGTAATGTAAAAAAGCAGTTATTAATTTCTTTTCAAAACACATTTGAGAAGATATTTCGTATAATGAGTGTACGAAACACTAGTTTATTAATTCTGCTAGATTCTTCGTTTCGTAATGAATCCAGTGGTATAAAAATCTCATTTTTCTTAAAAATGTCGATTACCGACTTTCTTCATCAGAACGGGAGAATTAAAACAAAAATAATTGTTTTGTTTTTAAAATAGTTTATTGTAAATGTAACATTTAATTTTTCAATTAAACTGATGCGAAATAATTAATCTTATATTTTTACTTTCGTATTATAATTTCATTTAATAGAAAAAAATTAATTTAACAATAAATCGAAAAAACGATCAGTTACGATTTTGGTCTTCACGATTTTTAAAGCTCTAAATAAATAGGAATGAAATGCCACTATATCCGATTTTGTCACCATTTTTGCAAAACCCAAAAATCTACTTGAAGCGAGTTTGTGATTTAAATATTAGAATTTTTTACGTCAAAGTTTAACACGGTGCCGTTTTAAAGTAAAAAAAAAAATAAAATTTTGATTATTAATTTAATTTCCAAAAAAAGAAAATTCAAGCCATAAGATTATACTCTCTAAATTTGAATTAATAAAATTTTTAAGTAATTTGAATTAGCGACTGACTTTTTGCTTTTGAATTAGTTAAAATTTTACTAATTCGATAATTAAATATTTTTCTACTATTAGTTAAATTTTACTAATTCAGATTTAGAGAATATATTATATTATATTTACTAGCTGATTCCGATTTAGAGTAGATTTAATTTCTAAAAAGTAGTTAAAAAAAACCTACCCAAAACTGATGGCTTTGCATACAGTTCTATTATTTGAACAGGCATCTTCACAATCAGAAACAGTTGTTGCCGGAATAGTAGTGGTATTAGCTTCCGGTAATCGAGAACCAATTGCAACTCTTGTATAACAATCTAAAGTGAAATTTAAGTGCAAGTTTAACAAACTTTATTGCAGTAAATATATAATTGAAAGCGAAAGTTGAATTAAATTAAAAATATCCCTTTTTCTAGTACAACTTTTTCTTTATATACAAATCCAAAAAACAGTAAAACAAAAACATATGTCTAATTTTTTATAAATAAGAAATAAAATATTAAAAAAGGAATTTTTTTTATATTTTTATAACAAAATTAACTTTAAAAAATTTTAATTTTAAAATTTGAATTCATAAATCTTGATAAAAGTATGTATAAAAATAATTTTCCCTTTGTTGCAGTGAATTTTGACTATAAATCGTAAAATGGATTTATTAATTTTCATCATAATTATAATTTACCGTTTGCAATAATTGCCAGTTGATTGTTAAACATAAAACCCTGACCATGTAATGGCTCGATAGAAATCAAAAATATAAAAATTATTGCGCTTATCCTGCTGCGAAATTTCCCGCTTTTCATTGACCTCATCATTCTCGAGGATCGTAATAGAAGGTATATTAATCCTCTTGGACGAACACATTTGGATTTGAAAATTCAATTTTACACACCAATTATTTTTTATTTTTCTTGTTAAACAAAACAAATACCAAAAAACACTTTAATTATAAAATTATAACCTAATTATAAAACCTAATTTTCACTTCACAATAGCTTCTCGATATTTCTAATTTATTTTTCACTTAAAATTTAGTTAAAAAATTTCGTTATTTTAAATAAATATAAAAATAATATAAATTACAATTTTTTTAGTTTTAATTAATACATATTAATAAAGAAATTTAATAGTTATTTTATTTATTCAATTTTTTGAAAATATTTATTTACATTTTAAAAATTATAGATATTAAAAAAGAAGAAATAAAAATAGAAGAAAAAAATTTAAATATTAAACTTCTACAAATGATTAAAACAAAGTAATTGGAAAGAATTTTTTAAATTTTTTTCTAAATGAATAATTTTGTAATTGAATTAATTATAAAATTAATGAAGTATAGCTTCTTTTTATCGCGAGTGAAGTTACGTTCTTTGCGACAAGTCGACGACTGAAGCTTTGTCTAACTGTAACAGTATTATATGGGAAGTACAATCCCGGTAAAACCTTCTTCTTATTATTCTTAGTTACTTAGTGTTATAAGTACCTGCAAGTACTGAGTAAATATATTCTTGCACCATACAGACGTTCATTCTTCTATTAGCGTCCTAACGAGCTCCATCAATGCACCGATAGCTTCATTTTACAATTCCTACTATATAATAGATAAATTTCATTCATTCATTATTTCTAAAATAGATTTACTAATTTTTCCATTAATTATGCAAAATTTTATCAAAAAAAAAAAAATTTTTTTTCCTTCATTAAAACAATGTACTTTATTAAAAGACGTGATTTTTATGGAATGCATGGAATCCATATATTAGATATATTGGAATTTTTGTTGGGTTGGAATTAAAAATTATTGAATTTTTATTTAGTAGAATTTTTACAAAGTAGATTTCATCAGACGCATGAATAATGCCTATTTATTTGTTTGAATTTTTATTTGATAGAATTTTCATTAAGCCGAATTTATATGTGTTCAAAATAAATTTTTTCACCAGAATTTTCATTAAAACGATTTTTTATATTACAGAATCATTTAACAGAAATTCTAATTGATAGAATTTTCATTTGTCCGAAATTTGCTAATGACCGAACAAACAATCGACAGAAAGATTTTGGCGCGATTTTTAAAATCAACCAATCACAATATTTTATGGATAATTTTTGATTGGTTGATTTTAAAAATCGCGCCAAAATCGATTGTTTGTTCGGTCATTTGTAATTTTGAACAAATGAAAATTCTATTAATTATAAATTCTGTTAAATGATTTTTTGGTTAAGTAAAAATTCTGTAGTATTAGGAATCGGTTATATGAAAATTATATCAAATAATAATTCGAACAAAATGAAAATTCATCTGAAAGAATAAAATGAAAATTCTATGCAATGAAATTCTACCCAATAAAAATTCTTTAAAATGCCTATTATGTAAAATGAAAATTTGAGCAAAAAAAAAAATCGTTTTGATAAAAATTCCGCAAAATACTAATTCAAACAAATAAAAATTCGGCTCAAAAATAATTATGACAAATGAAATTCCATAAAATGAAAATTCTAACTAATGATTTTTAGAACATAATCATGCGTCTCTTTTTCAAAATATCTGCGGTTTTTTTTATACTACGTAATTTTATGTATTTTTATGCGCTGATTACGAAAATCATATAGTGACAATACCCAAAAATTTGATTTTTATAGTGAAAACCATAAAAAAGTCCTAAAATTTTTTCATTTTCTTATTGTTTATTGGGTAAAAATATGCAAAAATTTTTTTTAAAAATGCATAAGACAAATAATATATTTCAATTCAAAATTTCGAATATTTTCAAAAATTACGACTATATTGAAAATTTTGTTTTCTCACGACCAGACTTAAAATTTGAGGCTTAAAATTTTGTAAAAAAAAAAAGAAATCGAAAAATACAAACAGTTTTAAGAACAAGATTTTAACATTTAAATTATAAAAAATATAGTTAATTTTAATTAAAAAAAAAAAAATTAAAATTTATGCATTTTTAAAAAAGTTATGAGCATTCAAATGCAAAAATAAGAAATCATTAAAATTCTTAAATTTTGAAAAATTTATATCTCGTAAACGCGGCTTGATGAAAAATTTGAAAAAAAACCTCCTGGTGGTAAAATTTAATTCCCGTCTTTTTCCGGTTTTTTTTCTGTATTGAAATGTGTTATTGTTATTGTTTTAAAATGTTAAGTTTTACTAAGTGAAAAAAATCTGATAATAAAAAAATTGTATTACCTATATTGAAAAAAATTTAAAAAATTGAAAAAAATTTTAATAAGTGAGAAATTGTTATTTGAGAATAATGATTTTAACTTGTAAATATTTTGAAAACGATCAGAAAAATTGAAGTGAAGGATAAAATTAATTTATATAATTTTATTAAATTTCAATATTTAAATTAAATTACCCTAATTTATTTTCTTCTGAATTATAATAAAAGCTTAATGAAAAAAATTTTTCCTGTATTCACATTTTTTTTTTTCTTAACAAAGGTTTCATTATTAGTTTCGAAAAAAAAAGTTTCACAATCTATGGGTTCTTTTATTATTGTTTCTGAATCATCATCATCAATTGGTTCTACGCAGAATCTTAAAAAAAACAATATGTATAAATTTACGTATTCATTGTATATGATTTTAGAATTGTAAAAAATTCATTTTCTTTATTGTTTTTTTTTTTTTTTTTAATTTAATGATCCCTTGCGCTTGAAATTTTGAAAACATCCTTAATAACTGTCTTAGTAGCAAATCAAATTTATATAGTTCCGGAGATAATTACAGAGATGAGAATATATTCATGGCCGTGAAAAATGTAAATGAGAACGCTATTTTTTTGGCTATAGGTATTATATTATTATATTTTTAATGTTAATTTAATAATTCATTCGATGAAACATCTTTTATATATAGGATTGTTTCAAAAGGTAATTTGTTGATCAATATCATTTTTCTCAGCCTTCGCATGAGACCCTTTATTTTTTGCGTCTTAAAATTATGTCAATATTTAATGACAGTATTATTTATGAAATTAAATTTTTTTTATTATCTGAATGTTTTGTATTATTTTCATTTTAATTGCGCATTAACTATATGAATAAATAAATAATTGAATAATAAAAATTATTTTATTTATTTGAATAAATAATAAATAATTTTATTTTATTATACTCTAGAAGTAAAAAAATTATTTTACTTTGAAAATTAAATTTTTTCAATTTTGAAAAATTCTAATCCAATTAACAATTAATTCAATAAAATCATAAAAATTTAATTGTGAAAGTTTATTTTGAAAATCATTTAAAAAAAAAACTTTCTGAGGGTGTGTTTATAGAAAGGCTTCGCCTTACTTCCTTTCGGAAGCGTCGAAGCTATATCTGGAAAAGCAAATTTGAAATAATAGGATGACAACGTTCAGTAGAATTGTAAATCTTTACAACCCATTGTTTTTAAAAATGACAAAACTGCAATATACGATATGTAAATGTCCGTCATTAGTAGCCATAAACAGATTTATTTTAAATACTTCATTTTTTTTATAACTGCGCGTTCATTGACTTTCTTCAAAATGTCACATAAACTTACATAATCACAATATTTCAAATAAAGAAATTACAAAGTGAAAGTGAAAAAAAAAAGATAAACATTTCATTGCTGAAAAAAAAATTAACAATTTATTATGTAAAAATAAATTGTTATTAAATTTTTCTTTTTTTTAAAGAAGATATAATGTGAGAGAGAATTTTAATAAAATATAGAGTATTTTTTATATTTAATTACAAAGTTGATTTCGAAATTTTTTTTTTATTTAAAAGAGTTCCTTGACTCTCAAAGATAATGTCCGAATTTGACCCTGAGTTCTATTCTAACTTTTTTTGCGATGCTTAAAGAAGAGCTCTAATGGGTCTACTATAGATGCATATGTAGTAAAAGTTACATAATCAAAATGGGATAAGCTGTACGGGACGTTACGCTTCGAGGCATTCAACCGATGGGAGTGACTCACACATAACATGATTATAATTCCTTATTATAAAGACATTGTTGTAAATGTGACTGGATCAATTTTACAATTGATCCTCAAGCTTTAGAACTATTTTTATTTCAATATTGTCATAAAAATTTTAATTATTTAAAACTTAATTTATTAAAAAATTTCAATTAACTACCGCTCACACAGCACATAAAATTTCCTGAATTTGTCCTGAATATTTCATTGAAAGATTCGAAATATTTCAATGAAAGATCCATGAAATTTTGATGCAAGCAATGAAATGTCCGCCTATAAGAAATATTGCAGTTCCGATTGTACGAAAAATTTCAGCGAAATGTTCAGGAAATGTGAGGATGAAAAATTACTGACATATTATTTTTTAATATTTGCAAAATAAAAAAATGAAATATGTTACAAATTTTTAAGTGAAATATTTTGAAAAGATTATTCATTAAAATTCTAGAAATATCGAAAGGAAATATTTCTAAATTGTTAAAAATACATATTCAGGCAATATCATCCGGATATATTTGTGAAAAATAAAAAAAAAATGAATTACAGAAATAAATTGCGGTAGTGATTGTGAAAATATGTGACAAAATTTGTGTATTTAGTTAAATAGTGACAATTTATTTATTATAAAGAAATTATTACACGTAATATGCAACAAGCGAAACATGATTAATATTCGTAACTTTTTAATTGAATTCTTAATTTACTGCATAATTATTATTGAACAAAAAATTTGTTTCGCAGAATTGTCATTTGATAACATTTCTATTTTTCAGAGTATTCAAATGTTTAAAATTTAATTTGTCTAAAATTGCAAATGACAAAAGGTACATATGAAACGATCGCCGGAAAGACGGCATACGTCGATTTAAGACATTTTGAGATATGTTAAATTTAAGATTTATTTGTAAGTTATAATTTAAGGCATTATTATTGAAAATTTTTTTCTTTTACAAAGGGGCCGTCCATATACCACGTGGACAGTTTTAGGGGGGGGGGGGTTCGTCAAAAGTCCACGATTGTCCACGAGGGGGGAGGGGAGGGGGTCAAAGCAAATGTCCACGTGGACCCAGTAAAAATAAAATTTTATTTATTGTTTTTTATGCCTCTTTTAAATTTCGCGCCAGTGTACTATTATGTACTGCCCT